AAATTTAAAAAGCAAATTTTAATTGTGTTGGTTTTTGGGAGGCAAGATTATGCCGAATCTACATATTAACAAAAGCTTTTTTCATATTTCTGATGTTAAATTTTCATATTCAAGTCTTCTATTGGTGCCTCACAGTGTTTTTATGTTTTTTTCTCCTAGATCTCCTGTTTCTTGGTTTGATGCTATGTATTTGATCTTCTCTTGCTATTATAAGTGAATTTTTTCCTCCCATATATATTCTGTTTGTTGTATGTGTATATATGTGTGTGTGTGTGTGTGTGTGTGTGTTATAAATGATATGTTAATTTTAACCAGCCAACTCTTTCTTATTGTTTGTACATTTTTTAGTCAATTGAGTTTTCCAAGTAAGCAATCGCATCAACTGAAAATGATGATAATTTTACCTTCTTCTTTCCAATTCTCACAAAATAAATGTTTGCTACTTATACCACTCAGTCTATGGCATTTTGCTATAGCAGCTGGAACTGACTAAGACAGTCTTGTTCTTTCTCCCACCAAAATGGGAAAGAATGTTTAGCACAGGATTATAATTCTCAGTCTGCATCCAAGTGAACTAGCAGCTACAGCCACCTCCACTGTTACAAGCAGGAGCAGCAGTGTCTTAATAAGCCCACATCCCATGCCCAACTCTCCTAGAACTTCAGCTTATTTGTCCATATTGATTAGATCTCAGGAATTTTTAAGCTTTTTCCCTAAGTCCTCTGACTCATTCTCTACCCCGATTCTCAACAACCAGCTTCCTCACCTTCGATCAATCCTCCACAGGGAGAGTGAGAGGAAATTCCCTATTTATATTCGAAAGAAAGAAGACAGTTAGAAAGGACATATTTCAATGGCAGGGAAGACAAAGCATACCTGATTAAGTCCAAGTTAATATTTCAGAATACCTGCCCCGTATGTGTAGCAAAAGACCATGCCCCACAGCTCATTACTTCTGCCTCTGTCTGGCAGGACAGCTCAGACAAGACATCCACAAGTCCACAGAACAGGAAAAGGGCCAGTGCTATCGTGAAACAGGATGAGCACTCTCCTGGGAGGCACAACAGCCATTTTCAGCTTAGGTCTTCTGTGAACCAGCTATGTGACTATGGAAAATGGACATTTTATTGAGTATATACAGAGCAAGAAGGGGCACAGAACCATATAAGGCAAGTTGCAACCCTCACTAGTCTGAAGAAGGTTTGGGGATCAGATCTCCTAAAAGGTGCCTTTCTCTCACTTTAATGAATCCGTGTACCATGTCCAAGGTAAACAGCCGATCACTGCATTTTTAAGAGACTCAAGAGACTTTAGGAGCCTTCCTATCATCATACCAAGATATTTAATCTATGGGACCACAATCATCCAATTAGTGGGCTTGTAAACAGTTTTCCACCACGCCAGACTTCAGGAGTTCCTCTTGGTGCTCGGTATCAGTGCTGAGAGGAGTTTCTGAACTCAGAGTAGAGTCAGAGCCTTTTATGAAATACTGCCATAGTGCATACTTGGGTTGAATGTGGTCTAACATTATACCAGTCTGGAATCATTCGTGTTAATCACTTTCTCTTGAAGATATCTGATCAAACTTTCCTTTAATAAGTTCTGTCTCACTATTACAGAAAATTTCTTTGAGTTCTCTGTGTTCCCAGCCGAGTTGGCCAGCTGATTGCTACATAATGGACCCTCATTCAACATCACATATGCTTTACTCTTCCAGCCAATATTTCTCTGTCTTGAACCTCCTTGATCTGCTTTTGTCAAACCTTGACTGGAAAAGCAAATTTTCCTATGTGATTGATGTTTCAAGTATAAATCTAGAGTTTTGCCTGATAGGAATAAATAAAAAAGGCAAATTATATATGCTTTGGTTGTCACAGCAGGGACTCCCATCATGTCATCAGCTTTCTTATGTGTGAACTGTGAAAGACCAAGGTAATTGAAAGACATGCGTATACCTCTGGTTTCTCAGATATTAACAGAAGTTGCCTCCTAATATGGTTTCTTTCTGGCTCAATGTTCTGAAAGAGAAACAGATCATTCTATTTCTAGCACAAGTATTGAATACACTTTAACCAGTTCATTAAAGAAGAAATTCTTGGTGGCTGATCAGTAATAGGACTGTGGCTGCTCAATTCTAATCTGATATTAAGAATAATCCAATCTCTCTCTCTCTCATTCTCTCTCTCTTTCTCTCTCTCTCTGTCTCTCTCTCTATTTCTTTCTCTCTCCTCTTTGCATTTCTCCTTTTCTTGTCTCTCTCTCTGTCTCTCTCTCTCTGTCTCTCTCCTCTTTGCATTTCTCCTTTTCCCTTGCTTCTCCTCCCCTCCCTTTCCTATTTCAGAGAGAGAAAGAGTAGTAGAACCACCTGAACAACCAGTTTATCTTGTACCCAAAGTATGTAACATCTTAGCTTATTTTCAAGTTTATCTTCCACTAGCTATTTTATGCTTGTCTTTCAAATAATCCAAATGCTTATGCTGCATTAGAGTGTGTGTCAGTTTCTGAGTATAAGAAACTTTGGTGCGTATAGAAAAAATATGTAAAACATGGTAAACTGTGGGGTTCAAAAATTTTGATTAATACAAATACTTATCTTAACCAAAAGGAAAAAGTGATTAACAATTTATGTGCAGGCACATAATAAGCTGTTTCAGGAAATGTTGAGTCTACCAGCTGCCCAGCACCTGTATTTCTGAGCAGCTACTTAACAACAGGACATGTTCACAATTCTTATCTGAAGCTGAGATTAGTCATGATCTGACCAGCAAAAAAGGAAGAGGAAGCTTATATGCAGAAATGTTTAGATGGGGCTCACTAAATCTCAGGGTATTGATAAGTAGCACTTCTATTGGTCAATTATTAGGAAATGTGTGGAATGTCACAGGAAGGCACTCACAAATGCAATTAAGAAATGTTCCAAAGCAGCTTTTATGCACAGGTGACTTGCAGTGTCCACTTAAATTGTGAGTACTGGTCTGTAAGATGTGGCTTGGCTTCCATGTACCTCTCTGAAGCTAGTGATAGTTAATGCACCAGCCAAACCACTCTCTCCCTCTTTCCTTCCCTAGGCCCAGATGACTTTAATCTCAGCACTTTCTGCCTTCTCCTCCAAAGCTCTATCCCATCCTAGCCCAGGGGACCCTCACCTGGTTTGAGGGAGAGGGAAGGGCAGACAGGAACATTCTCACACTCCCACTGTTCTCATTGCAATCAGTTTTTATGACACAAATAGTCCATCTAGCTTTCCTCGAAGTCCTCTCTTTAGCTATTCAAAAACTTATTTTAGAAGTTTCAAACATTTTTAAAAATATAATGTTGACAGTTACTTTCTCCTTGTAGATCAACTGCAACAATCTTAATTCTCTTATAGACAGGTGTGAATGTCTCTGTATAACAAGAGGAAAGGTCAAGTATAAGAATGTTCAAAAGAAAAAAGAGCACAAAATTTAGTATTTCAAGACGGCATCTCTCTACAACCTATTCACTGCTCCCCTCCTCCTCCACCAACTAGTCATTAACCGCTTACTTCTCCCTCACTTACTCTGTGAAACTTCTTTCTCAAACCTTAGTTGTCAAATCTACTGCTTTATTTTTTCTAGACCTCTTTCTCTGATAGCATTGATAATGCTGACCATATCCTCTGTATTAGGAAAGGAGGGTGGTGGTACATGAGGAGTAGGCATCTAACTCCATAATAGCTTAAGACAAGAAGAGAAATTACTAGAAGGATACTGATCTATCTCTTCTCAAATAAATTACTTGTTCAACTCTTTCTTTGGGAATTTCCATCTGGGCCTGACATTTTCAAATCTATCCCCCTACTCAAGGTAGAAATTAACTCCATAATAACCTCTAACAAATGCAGTTGGCCTCAATTAAACATTTCTGAATATTATTGTTTTCAATCAATTTAAACCTGTCTCCTTGAAACTTCCACATATTACATCTGAATCATCACTCAAGAGACAGTTTAGTACATAAAACTGGACCTGAATCAAACCTGAGTTTCAGATAAGAACATACTGGTACAGGCACTATGGAAAATAGTATGGAAGTTCCTCAAAAAATTATAAATAAGATTACCATTTGATATAGCAATCCCACTTTTGGATATTTATCCAAAGGAATTGAAATCAGGATCTGCATGTTCCTTGCAGCATTATTACAACACTCACGATAAGGAAACAACTTAAGTATCCAACCATGGATAAATGGATAAAGAAAATGTGGTATAGATGTACAGTGGAATACTATGCAGCCTTAAAAAAGGAAGGAAATCCTACCATTTGTGATAATATGGATGGACCTGGAAGACATTGTGCTAAGTGAAATAAGCCAGAAAAAGAAATAAATATTATATAATCGCACTTACATGTGGGATTTAAAATAGTCAAACTCACAGAAACAGAGATTAGAATGGTAGTTGTCAGTGGCTAAAGAGAGGGAGAACTGGGGAGATGATGGCCAAAGGGTACCACGTTTCAGATATATAAGATGAATAAGTTCTAGAAAGCCACTCACTGTACAGCATTGCTATAGCTATGTGCTAGCTATAGTGGCCATAGTTAAAAATACTGTAATATATACTTAAAATTTTCTAAGAAGAAAGATCTTATATTGTTATAATAATAATAATAATAATGGGAGTGGGAGGAAACTTTGGGAAGTGAAGGATATGTTTATGGCCTTGATGGGAGTATACTTAACCCCAAATTCATCAAGTTGTATTATACATTACTTATGTACAGCTTTTTACGTGTCAATCATAACTCAGTAAAGTAGTTTAAAAACTGAAAATATATTTAAAAGAACACACTAGCCATTCTTTAAAATTAAACATAATACGGATCAAAATGTTTCAAAGAATAGTATCTTTAATTAGTATTTTAATCATTATCATTTTAACTGAAGTTTTTTTGTAAACGTATTTATCGGTATCAGAAAAATACAGAGATATTATTTGTATACAAAAGCATATTTTAAATTCCATTTAAGCCCACTCATTTCATCTCCTACAGCTGTCTTTTTGTTTTGACAAAGAATGAATAAGGAATAAACAGAATGTCAATGCTTCAATTCGATCTACCTCTATAGCTCCCCGAAAAATCTAGGCATGTATCCATCCGCATTAAGAGAAAACCATCCTTACAAATATTGAATCACTCAATAGCTCAGGCACATACTGATGCTTCCTGCAAAAGGAAAGGGATGGGGAAGGAGGAGGAGCAAATTGCATGTCTTGTGTTGGACATGTACTTAAAAAAAAAGCCCCAAATGGAAGACTGCCTTGTATTTGTTCTTAGACAAGAAGGCAGAAGATGCCCGTGACTAGAGCATGATGAATTTGGATCTAACAATTCAGTGGTTCAATCTCCTGCTGAGATTAGGAATTCCTACATGAGATGCTTGAGTCAATGAGGTGATATGTGAGATTATTAGTTGTGATGGAATAATTGTATCTGTCTTTTTCCATTCACAGTCCCCTTTGTATTGTTTTACTGAAGGAAGCCAATCTTTCTAAGTGTGTTCTGGCTCATGGGCAGGGTCAGTGATACTTAAAAGGTTCATAAGGCTGAATGGAGCATTCGAGTTGCTGTAGTCTAATCCTCTAATTTTTCGATTAAAAAGTCAAGATCCAGAGAAGTTAGCATTTTTTCCAAGAACACAGTTAGCTCATGCAGAGGTTCATGAATATTCTTCATCTTGACTGACATTAAAAAAAAGAAGAAGAAAAAGAGTATCTGGATTCTGGTTTGGCAGAACAAAGGGTTGTGTTTATGCGAGTGGCTGGAAGTTAAGGGGAGAAGTGGACACTGGGAAGGAAAGAGGGAGAATATTCCTCCATGCTCGAGAAGTTGTCTGAAGTGCTCAGTTATGTGGGTGTTTTAACTCATCCATGGCACGCTGCTGGATTCTCGCAATCCTATGGGCACCCGGGAGCCTACTGGACTTCCGCCTCACAGGGCCCTATGCTGGTGATGGAGATGCTCTGCCCTCGGCACCTCAGCGTGCCAGCCTCACACTCCGTCATTGTCTGCTCCTTGCCGTTCACTTCCACACAGATGCTAATCCCTTCTTCCTCGCACTCGGATGCTTCTCTGCAGATACATTTGCTGCTCTGAGCTGGAAAATAAGCAAGAGAGGCTTAATGGCACATTGTGGAGATGGGAGGGTGAAGACACATTACCTCCAAAGTCACGTTGTGGTAATTAGAGAAAGCTAAGGAAGCTCCTGCCTTGAGTGATGGAATCAGTTAATCCCAGGAGAAGCAGTAGAACCAGGAAAGAGGTATTTTGCTCGGCTCACAATAAGCAGGTGTCAGACTTGCTATTGGGCAGTTCTTCCAAGTCAAAAGCTGTCCAGCTCTCTCCTACTCTGGGGTGCTGTCTAGGTGAGTCAGAACCTGAGTGTGACCCTTCAACCCCCAGACCAAATGATGAGACCTCAGCAAAGAGCCAAGTGGCAAGGGTCAAACAAAGAAAAAGAACCAAAGAATTCAACTTCCCTTGAGAGAGAGGGCATGAAATGCAAAAGGCTTAATATCCCACAGAAACAATTGACAGATGAGTTAGGGAGGGTAGCACTGTGTGCTCTGAAGTTTTGAGGCTGGAATACACCAGCCAAGTGTCTCCAAAAGGAGAATAACAAGGTCAGCCAGCTGACGGTGGTGACTGCCAAACCCAAAGTGTCTCAGAAGTGGCTAGAGTTATGCATGTCATCATCTGTGCCCTAAATTGTGATGGAAATGAGGGGGAAGATGCCCGTGGGTACAGACCAGGAGAAGAAGGGCCTGCAGAGACCTTATAGATCACATAGTCCAGCTCCCAAATTTACATATGGGGAAACTGAGGGCAGTGACTTGGGTCCGGTGACCCAGATCTTCCCCTTTGAGGTATAGCTGAAACCATGGAGAGGTGGGCCATGCTAGTTGTGGTACTTCAGATCGATATAAGTGCTACTTGGACATAGCACTAGCAAATGTTGAATCACAACTCAAGAAAGTGACTCCTCTTTCAATTCTCTTCAAATCCTTGATTCTTTCTAGGAGAAAGGGTCAGCTTGGCACTGGTATTCTTTTAACACCACCCTAACACTTTCTAAACTGCCTTCATCCCAAAGAAATAGCATCCTTCAAGCTCCTAGCAGCATCTGGCTAGAATCTATAACCTTATTTTGTTTTATTGTACGTATTTTTATAGTTACCTAATATGTATGGCAAGTGAGATTTCCTTTTAAGAAAATAATATAAAGTTTCTTTTTTTAAAGTTTTTAAGAAAGTAATATAAAGTTTCTTCTTTCGTTATTTTCTGTGGGTCTAGTTTTTTTAAATGAGAATATAATATGGATAATATAAGAGCAAAACAAAAATCATGAGGGTGGAATGAAAATCACAGATTTGGAGAGGACATGTCGACTATCAGGTATGGATTCTTGGCCTCCAGGTACTCGACCCACCCGCTCCCCGGGGAAGGCAGTGAGGAGAGCAGTTCACTCTCAGACTAGTCTGAGTTGTTCACATTTTCAGGAAATTGCTTTGATCTGCTGCTAAGCTAGAAAACTTTTTTTCTTTAAAACCTCAGCACTATTACTTAAGCATTCGTATAGTGACAAATGTAAAATGCTCCTTACCATCACATTTTCCCCACAGCGGACACATGCCACAAGCTTTGTCCACGGAGGCAGGTAGAGTGCAGCTCTCCCTTCCCAGAAGAGTGTAATTTCTACCCTGACAGTGGAGAACATGCATCTTGCAAACTGTCAGAGGCAGGATCCTTTTGCTTCTCTCATCCCGAGCACATACATCCAAGGAGGATCTGAAACAAATTTTGTAAATTATATTATTTACAAGATTCTTATTTTCAAAAGCCAAGGATGAGAAGTGAAAGGTGAGGCTCTGAGCTCAGTGCCTCAGATGTTATCACTCACAGCAAACAGATGGAAAAGAAACTCAAATCCCCTTTATTGCTAGGGCCCACCCCATTCAGATCTCCAAAACACATTTTTCTCTTTATTTGCTCACAATTTTTACCAGCTTAGCTACCTAGTGTTGATCTAGTTTTATCTAGAACAGATCAGATACAGCAGATTGGAACAGGCAAGGTCTGTTAGGGACAGCTGGTGAATTGACAAGGAAGGAGACAGAAGACACACAAAGATCAAACACTCAGAGATTATAGTTAAATGGGACCGCTGACTGCAGGAGAAATTTAGCTCTCCCAGCCCAGCAGCCCTGTCCATATCATCATAGTTCATGTCCATATCATAGTTCATGTCCATATCATAGTTCATGTCCACATCATAGTTCATGTCCATATCACAGCATTGTCCAACAAAATTGATGACTGAATCCTCGAGGGAAGATGAAACTAATTTTTGATACTATTTTTTAGTGTTTATGTTTATGAAATAGTTTAGAAATATTTCCATAAATAATTGTTACTTTTTTTCTTAAGCATTGCTGCTAAAGTGGTAAAATCCAGTTTTTTAGAAATGTCACTAATAAAAACAACCATGTTACTGAATGCTGATGAATAAGGAAGGCATTAATGTAGTAAAACCTTAGACAACAAAGTATTTTTGTATAGTAGATGGAGTCTACATTTCCTTATATATTTATTTAGCTCTAATATTCTCTTTTCTGACCAAGAGCTAAATTTACTTGGAGTTATTTACATAATGAAAACAAATTCTCGTATCTCTCTTTTATCTGCTTATTTAAACTTCAAATAGAACTACTCAGAACAACTTAAAAGGCAGAAACTTTACAAGGCCACCTTGTTCTTAGTATCTGAGATGAAAACTCACACTATGTCTATAAATAGCAGGTTGCAGATAAACTAAATGAATCAGAGAAGTTGGAAAGAGGATGAAAGTGAATCATTAAAATAAGCAATGATTTATAGAAAATAACAGCACAGTCAGAATAGTCTGGGCCAATCACCATTGCCATTTACACTATCACATTGTATTCTCCTTGACACAAGAAGTTACTTTCTGTAAGATACCATCACAATCACCATTACCCACTGCAGGTGCTCACGGAGTTGGATGTATACTTTGATGACAATAATAATTGAAAGCCAAGTAATTGGCCAGTAAATTTGTGTTCTGATTTTTAACCTTAAAGATAACCAGGGGCCTGGCTACCTCCCATTTGCCTCTCTCTCTTCTCCACTCTTCCACCCTGCCTGGAAGGCTGACATGTGCGACCCCTATCAACAGACTTCTTTCTCCTCTAGCTTTGGGTGCATTCGATCAATGGGGAGCATGACTAGGAGATTGAAAGGAGGAAGGAGAGTACAGCTGGGGTGTGTGTTCCCTTGGCTCACTTCTGGGGGATCTCTGGGGTCCCTAAATTGAGGGACTCAGCTCCTCCTCAGCTGCCACCTCCACAGCTTCCTCTCTCTGCCCAGGTTTTCGCAAATGTTCCTCTCCTCGCTCCTTCAGACCTGGGCGTGACTATATACCCCAACTGTGATCCTGTGGCTTGAACACTTCAGTCAAGAGTCCTACTTATAAATTTCCTCTGTCCTAATTTAATCGTGCCATCTATATCCAACTAGGATCATAACACAGACATCTAATAACTACTTCAGACGCCCTCCTATGATAGAGTGACTTCAAGTTGGGCGGCATTCTTATAATGCAATCCAGAGACATAGACATTTCGGGAATCAGAAAAGCAGCTGTTTTTTTCACTATCGGTATTGCTTTAAGAGTTTATGTGTCAAGGGAATTTCAGTCCTAATCCTCTCAGTCTTTAAATCCTCAGGTGACAGTTTTGTCATTTTGCACCATTTTATATATAGAACAAGCAGTGCTCAAGCAGTCTTTCAGTCTTTCTCTAGACAGATTAGAACACTGCTTAATGCCACCAGTTGTCAGCTCTAGTGACCCAGGCAAATAATAGGGATCAGATGGAACAGATTAAAATGCAAAGATCCTTAACCCTTGGTAAGCAACACCTTTGCTCTAACAGAGACTAGCCTCTAAGAAATTTTTTATCTTGAATAAAATAAAACAGAGAGAAGTGAGCAAACACAGAGCTTACCCACATTCGTAGGGTAATTTACAAACACATCTGGAATTCTGCAGTTTCTCCCAGTGCTGACATTTAGGCACTGCCTGTGTCAAAATGGTATCTAAAAGAAAAAGAGAAGGGAGATACCATCATTAGAAGAGCTTCTTCACGGTAAACGACGTATTGATTTAATTGTTGAACTAGGCTCTCTAATATTCTCAACTGCCACAAGTTTATACTGTAAAAAAATAAATCTGTAAAGCATTTTACAAGAGATTAAGCATTCCTAGGAGCACCCTACACATAATTTCGTTGGTCATGGTAGCTACTATTTCTTGAGCATTTTCTATTAGCCATGTACTTTTCTACATTGTGATATATAATCCTCCTTAAGAGATGAAGAAATTAAGAGTCAGAAAAGTTAGGAAGTTGGTGCTAATTCATGCATTTCACAAATTGGCCAACACAGGGTTTTAAGTCCACGTTTGTCTGAATCAAGGCCAGTAGGACAGGCTCCCTTTCATCAAGAAACTGGTTTTTATAAATTGTTGTGTGGACTGCATGTTGCCCACAATACCTACAATAGGACAGAAAACAGAAACATAACTTGACCTATACATGGAGAACTCTCTGGTATCTCCAGGGGATCTACAATAACCTGTCATATGTAATGTCCAAGTGGCCTCTCCTCAACAGTGAGTAAATGTCTGGAGTGAGTAAACGTGAGTAAATTTTATGTTAAAATTCGTTCTATTGCTTTATGTTTTCTACAAACTGGCCAAAAGTCAATTTTCATTCTAATGTTGACAGAAAAACACCTTGATTCAGCTTCAAGAGCATAATTTGACTGCCATTGCCTTGGCTATACCCGACTACCATGTGAATAATCTACAACACTCTATTTCCACCTCCTGCCAGCTTCTTTACAATGGAATTCGGTGACATACACTTTTGCATCATAAAACTAATTATCTGTTGGATAGATCTATGCAGCAGTAAAGAAGAGATGAAGAGCATGTTTTTATGGATACACAAACTGTGGAATATTTTCTTACCTTGGAAAACTTAAGAGCTTTAAATCTGACAGGAAAATCTTGTCAACAAATTATAAATTTGTAAAAATGGTAGCAATTCGAAGTTCCCCTGCCATGTCTAGCAATGTCTGTAACAAGTATTCTTTAAACACTTCCCTTTAAAATGATATCCTACATGCAATGTGGTATCTTGAATTGTATCCTAGACCATAAAAAGAACATTAGTAGAAAAACTGGTGCTGTATGAACAAAGTATATATTGAGCCAATAGTATTATAATAATATTAATGTCTTAGTTTTGACCAACTAAATTATATCAAGTTATATGGGATGTTAATATTATGGAAAAATGGGTAAAGGATTTGCAACTTTTGTCAAACCTAAAATTATCCCAAAATAAATATTTTTTAATGGTATTATATAGAACAGTGCTTCTCAACCAGGGGCAATTTTGCCCCCTAGGGACATATGGCAGTGTCTAGAGATATTTTTGGTTGTCTTGGTTGTCAGCACTTGGGTGGGGGTTGGCGGGGGGTGGGAAGTTGCTGCCGACATCTAGTGAGTAGAGACCAGGGATGCTCTAAACGTACTACAGTGCATAGGTGCATAGGATAGGCTCCCACGACAAAGAATTACCAGGCCCAAAATTCCAATAGTGCTGGCATTAAGAAAAGCCTAATCCAAATGCACCCAAACTAAACTTTAATGGTAAAGACACATAAATTAGTTCTGCATTATAGTTAGAAGTTTCTTTGTTAATCATTCATAAGGATGAAATTTGAGATTTTAAATGTTTTCTAAAAGTTATTATAATTTCTTTGTAAAAAATCACTTAAACCAAAGCTTTGTTTTCTTTGTAGCTTAATTAACCAAATAAACATACTCTTAGGGCCCACCTAGAGTATGCATCTTTACTGTTTTAAAACCCAATTACCCTCGCATCAACACTAAATACTGATGGAGGAGGGGGAGGGCTTAGTGTTTCTTGGGTGCGGTTTCATTTCTGGGGGATGAAAGTTTCTGGGGATGGATGGTGATGATGATGGTGATGGTTGAACAATAATGGGAATGTATTTAATGTACTAACTGTACATTTAAAAATGGTTAAAATGGTAAATTTTATGTTATGTATATTTTACCACAATAAAAATGACTACTGACACAGCAGGTATTTTAAAACATTAACTTTGGAGGCCAACTAATCTGGAAATTTTTGTTTATTATAGACCTTCTTAAAGGGTAGTTATTATTGTTATCCACATCTTTTGAAAAACATGCAGGTCTGAAACATTTCCTTAATTAAAACGTTAATAGAATTTGCCACTGAGTGGGAGAAATACCAATCGTACTATAAAATGACTGAAGCAGACATTTTAGAAAAACAAGCATATAATCTCATTTGGAATTAAAGAGCAATCTCATCAACTGTACATTGTTCTCTTTAATTTTAGAATTACTTGCAACTTACTGAGTTTTGTTAACCAACGTCACTATAATAAAAATTTAAAAATTAAAATTAAAAACAAATAAAGGAAATGAGCTATCAAGGCAAAAAATAATAATAATTTTAGAATTACTAGCACAAGTCTATTACTTCAAATACCCCAAATAAATTCATATTTATGCTTCAGTGTAGGTAGAAAATAAAACTGTCTGATATGGGCCTTTGACAGCTGAGGTGCACATGAAGATTGGCACGGCGGGCATCCCATTGGACGTGCCGCCCTCCTACTCTGTCCTCGCTGATCTATTTAACACCCCATGTCTGCCGTCAGTCATGGAGTGCTCCACGTAGCTTTCTGTTTTCAGTTGTGACCATCTAATTCACTTAATAGTATCATTCGTGGAATCTAGTATTTCCTTCTCACTATAAGAGACAAATTTCAGTATTGAATTAAAAATTATACACTAGAGAAATAAAAATGCCATATAAAATATACAAGTGAGTTTTTCTTCTTTCCTGTTTTTGTTTCAAACATATATTTTTTCATTTATTTAAAAAATATGAACAAGAAAGAAAGAAGTCATTTTAAAAAACAAATCCATCTCATCTTAAATATCTCTAGAAAAAGAAATACTTTGGCTTTCCAAATCTCTTCCTACTTTAAATTTAAAAAAAAAAAATTTTTTAATTTGCCTAATAGTCAAAATAGTAGATTTTTAGATTTCCACTATTAAGAACTTTACAAACTACAATACTTTTTCTTCAATAGTTTGTTTTGCTGTGTTAAATGTAAATGCTTTTACATTTTTGATTTCGATAATACTAATAAACTCCCTGATATCACAGAAATGAAATATTCAGAATTTTACATAAATTATAATCTCAACTCTGTACTTAAGAAAAGTAAGTTTAAAAAATCAAAAGGAAACCAGAAATTAACTTAAAAAATTTTTTTGGCACCATAACAAATATGAAGTTAATATCTGATATAAAAAATTTCAGTTTTGCCTTTCTTTGCATTCCATGAGTCTATCTGTGCTGTGTAAAAAAATCTGCTATCCAGTCTATGAACTGACTCATATTCACAGCAGGGTGGGGATGGAGGGAAGGACTAACAGTTATGGCGATTCAGTGCCCTAAAAGACCGCCACGAAGACTCTTAGTCACTTGAGTGCAGGTGTCCTTGGACAGACCTAGCAACCACTCACCTTTTTGCACACACCGGACATTCTTCACCTCAGGACTCCACTTAAGGCTGGATCCACAGAGAAATGTTGAAGGACCTTCTAAGGACATGCCACCTGAACAGGAAAAGGTCACCTTCTCGCCAACTGTGTAGAAAGGTTTGTGGGGATGACTCTGTATGCCTTCTATCAGTACAGGTAGAACACAGGCAATTTCTAAAGATAAAAAGTAGAAAATAAGAGTCATTGCTTTCCAAAATCATCTTTAAGAAAAAACGACATCCTTGAATGGCGCCGATATGCTTGCTTTGCTTTTTCACATGAGAGGACAAGGAGGAAGAGATAAGTTCACTCTTTAGAGTGCCCTAAAAGTCCCACAGTGCCTGGTATGTAACTGGCCAAAGAATGACTGAACACCAAAACAGTTCCCACCCTCCCACACCTACCTTCAAAGCAATGTGATAACTTAAAATGAATAAGCCTTATAAATAGAGTCCTAAAGTCCAGCCAGCTGTCAAAACCAGAGTTTTCACAGTTTTCACTTATTTCTCTGGTCTGGTTAAATCCCACTATTATTTTCCTAAGAGCTGTATTTATTTGCATATCATTAGCATATATCCAGTTCAATATTTTACTATCTGAATTTTTAAAGAATGGCCTTTTAACCTCGAAACTATAAAAGTGTCAAATGTTATTTGGCTTCCTATCTCTATTATTTCTTGTTTGATTATGTTCATTAGCTCAAATCTTCTATGTGAAAACAAGCAAAGAGAAAAATGAGAAGCATGGATAGTTATAGAAAGCAAGTCAGAATTCACAATTTAAAAAATCTTGGCAATCTTGCTAATGGACTTTGGACAATATTCTACAAAATACTGCTCTATTTCTGTGTCATTTTCATCATTAAATTCATTTACTCATTCTTTCAAAAACAGCATCCTATTGAGTGCCTATATTTTGCCAAGTGTGTTGTGTGCTGCTGGGGATACAACAAGATACAAGTTACATATTCTGCCTTCAAACAGCTAATAATCTAGGATCAGATTTGTTTGTTTCTGGCCATGACACAATTGCTGGCTTCTCAATCATGTTCCCACCGAAAGAGAAAAGGCTGTACAAAAGTAAAAGTAAAAGAAACAATATTCTGAAAGCATCAGAGAGCTATTCAGGCAATGGAAGTTTTGAAGGTTCAAGATTCTAAAAAGAAAGGAAGTCTAAAGTGGTAACTGCCACATTCGGTATTGCCATTCTCCTTGAGGTGTTTGTAAATTAGAAAACTAAATGCCGAAAGGCTGCTAAATTGAGGAGAAAGCTGCAGCTCAAAGGTGGAAAAACTAAGTAGAGCTTTTAGCAGACTCATGGGGTTAGGAAGTCAGAAATAGTGTCCAGTGCTGTTGAAAAGGAGGGACGTAGGTAGAAATTCCATACTAACATTTCAGTTGGGATCCCTGAATGGCCACGCATCAGGAATAATGGTAAACTGGGTATAAACCAGCCTCACTGCTTGCCAGAGACAAAACTGAATCTTCTGTAGAGGAAGATCATTATCCAAAGCCTTAAATTATTCCTTTAATTTTTCATACATAAAGTCTAGTATTCAATCAAAACTAATCTAACATTTAAAAGATAAGAATTGACTAAAATAATTTTTAAAAAAAAATCATAGAAGCAGATCCACAGCACATCCATACAATGGGATTAATAGACATTGACTTTGAAATAACTGTGATTAACATGTTGGGGGAAAAATTAAATGACAAGATGGAAATTTCAACAGAGAATTAAAAAGTATAGAAAAGTAGACAAATAAAATACCTAGAATTGGTATTGAAATTAAGAACTCAGTAGAGCACCTAAAAGCAGATTATATACACAACTGTACAGAGAATTAATAAACTGTAAGATAGCTCAATAGAAAATATTTAGAATAAAATAAAGAGGGGAAATAATGTAAAATGAAGAAAATAATGTATGATATATATATAGCTATAGATACAGATATATAGATATAGATATAGATATATAGTCTATAATATGTATCATGTGTGTCTCATGAGAAGAGATGAGTGAGAATGGGACAGATTGATGGTTTGAGGACACAATGAATGGTCAAGAATTTCCCATTAACAAAGAACACTAAAGCACAGTTTTGAGGGCTTTGAGTATCAACCAGCATAAAGACAAAGAAAATTACACCAAATCACATCAGAGTAGAATTGTTTCTGAAAAACAAAGACAAAAAATGTTTTTCTTAAAAGCAGCCAGACAGAAAAATATGATTTTCAGAGAAACAGTAAGCCCAGGAGTTGACTTCTCACTAGAAAACAATGAAGTCAGAAGTAATGTAATAAAATCTTTGCAGCGGTCCCCGACCTTTGATACCAGGGACTGGTGCGCCTATGAAAATCTGCAGTCAAATGCTCTATCACTGAGCTATACTCCCTCCTATGAGAATCTAATGCTGATGATCTGAGGTGGAGTTGAGGCAGTGATGCTTGCACTGGAGAGCGGCTGCAAATCCAGATGGAGCTTCACTTGCTCACCTGCCACTCACCTCCTGCTGTGCGGCCCGGTTCCTAACAGGCCACTGACCGGTACCAGTCTACAGCCCAGGGGATGGGGATCCCAGAAAGAAAATAACTGCTAACTTATAATTCGTTATCCAGTAAAAATATACTTCAAAAATTAAGATAAAATAAAGACATTTTAAGGTGAACAAAGACTTGGACTGTTTCACAATATAGGGAAAAAACCTCTTCAAGCAGAAGAATGTTATTAATCCTTTCATAGAACCAATTTTTGGCTTTATTATTCCTAGCTAGGGAATATTTATATTCCATTTTAGTAATTTCTGCTCAAGGACTCCATAGAGAGAGATGGAGAGACTGACAGAGAAAGAGACAGAATGAGAAAAGATCCTACAAATCAATGAAAAAAAAGATAGATGAACCAATAAAAAAAAATGGGCAAAAGATTAGACAGCCACTTCACCAAAGAAGATTTCCAATTGGCCAATAAACATGTGAAAACAGGCTTAACATCACTATTAGTAAGGAAAGTGCAAATTTAAAAATATTAATTAAAAAATTAGATATCACTACACACTCACCAATGTAGCTTAAAAATTTTAAAGATAGATGATCTCAAGTATAGGTGATAACATAGAGCGATCTTAACTTCTCAGGTGGTAAACTGGTACCATCATGAGGAAAACTGGTTGCACCTACTAAATCTAGTGTCTGTGTACCCTGTGACTCAGAAATTTCACTAACAGGTAAATACCCAAGAAATAAAACGTACACATGTGTTTTAGGGCGTTCCTCACATAGCACAGATTAACTGATAGAAGAAAAATATATTCCTACAACTCTGTCTATCCATCTGTGAAACAAACTTATACTGCGGTACAACTGAGATGGAAGCCAAGAGCAATGTTAAAATGATACAATATGCAAAAGGTCTTACTCAGGTGCCTACATCTGAATAGACCAGGATCCAAAGCATTTGAGGAAGTAAGCTGATTGTGGTACACTCCTAGTAATTGAATTCTAGAGCATGGCCTAATGGTTTTAGCGAGAACTGAGCTCCCCAGCCAATTCTAATTTGCACCAGTAACTTTAAAATCACAATAAAATGTGCCTCACTGAACAGTAGAGCTTTCGACTAGAGAATGCTGAGGGCTTTCTCAAGGCTCTCCTGAAACTTGGACAGAATCACATGAGGTTTTCAGCAAAGGGAGGTCAAGATATGGGGCACATGGTGAGCAATCACTTATCTGGATTCATTCTCATCTACATTATTCTCTCATCTTAAATTTAGTCTACAGCCGAGGCCACTCACTCTGACAATGCATTTCCCCAACAAGCCACTGTAAATCCTCTCCACATCTGGCAACAGGGTCTCCAATAAGAGAGTATCCTTCCTTGCAAGAATATACTATGTTTTTCCCAACAGGAAACATGGCACCTTCACCCTAAACAGAAATAAAAGATAAAGAGTATGTTTATTCTGCACTAACGAATGTTTCTTTAGATATATTTGGCCTATAAATCATGCCTTCTTCTAAACATCAGGCAATCTATGTTCAAATAACTGATTTAGAAATTGTCTATAAAAACATTTTTCCCCGTATAGTCCTAGCCAACAACATCGGTACCACCACTAGTTGAAATAAAGCCATTACTGTCACTGTACTGTAACTTATTGATTGCTCTCAAAATATCAAGCACTGTACTAAGCATTTTACTAAAATCACTGTAGTGGACACTGCCCAAGTGACTTCTTTCCTTTATATTTCCAGGGAAGGGCAATTTGTTAACAGATTTTAGAAGTGTCCTTGTCAGCCAACTCTTCATAGTAAAGTGTTATGGGCTGTTCGTTGACAATACTTCCTAACAAATGCCAGTCTGAACAGACAGAAGTGTTCAAGTCCCATTATCACATTCATGAAAGTTTGACTTTTATGAAGAGCACAACGACCTTCTCCCACCCCATTCTCCAACTCGTACCCTGTAAGTGAAGTGCTGCTGGGCTGGGTCAGATTCAAGGACATATCATTAGCCTACGATGCCAGGAGGCGAGCTTTCATGATGAAGCAAACAAGAATTTGAAGTCTGAGCCTTGAGTGAGTAATCATGCTTGCTTGGGGTCTCTCTTGATTTCCTTCCTTGTCTTTCTGGTTCTCTGCTACCCAAGGGCATGATGAAGACATCAGCCTGGGAGAGGATTTGGGGCTGTACCAGCTCTGCTATGGGCATTAGAACAAAATTCTACGGTGCCTTCTTCTCTCTCTCCATCTCTACACACACACACACACACACACACACACACACACTTCCTCCATCTCCCAACATATGGGAGGGAAAACTTCAGTAAAATACCAGTGAGTGTATGTTCGAGGGCCTGGAATTTGAGAGGCAAAATTGTTCGTGGAGAAAGCAAAGCTGGCAGCACTGAGAGTCCTGGTGAATAATATCTCCTATGTGAGCCAGGAAGAGACTTCACTGGGGTCTGGGGCCCAAGCCTCATCATAACAAGGAGTGAGAAGAACACAAGTAATATGGCCCCAAAGCCAAGAAAATTCCCTAGAATGACAAGTGACAGATGACTCATGTTCCTTCCTGAACAAGAAAAATGCCCAAAGTACAATGACTCATACCTCAGCAACACTGGCTAAATGTCTTATTGGTTCCTAGAATAAACCTAATACTTCATCACAAACCCCATATTTATGAGATTAAAAAAAGACTTCTTACAGTGGTAAGAGTAGGGAATGTTCTCATATTAAAGAACCTGCTTATAGATTCCTATTTTAGTGGAAATAAAAATGTGTAGCAGCCCTCTGGCATGATTACCTTTCTAATTCATTGGGCGACAGTACTGATTTACTTTACCAAGGAAGACAGACTGCCCTCTGCAGAATTCTAATCACCTTGGGCTAAAGAACAAAAGTCAGTCTAAAACCTACACCACTAAAACTAAAATGCACACATAAAATATTTTTAGCACTGTTTCATCATGGAAGAAAGACATGGATTGTGACAACAGTAGAGGGGTAGAACTTGGGGCAAAGAATATTTGTAAAGAAAAGATATAAATCTTTCATAACCAACTTGAACAAATCCATGTTCCAAATCAGGAGGTGATGGACAGAATTCCGTTGGAACCAAAGACAAAGAAAAACAATGTGGTTCAAGCAATCTGGAAGGAAAAGGAAACAAGTCATAATTAATGTGATGGATTTTCACAGCATAATAAATATTTTGCACTACAGTAAATGTTTCATTTGCATCTGAAGGGACTCCATTCATGTAAATGTTGTGATATTTTTGTCATTGTCAAGACCAAGTATCTGATCATATCCCTTGATAGAAAACTCAAACATAAACTCAAGCTTCCAAAAGATAGGTTAATAGTATGAAAAGCCAGCAGCAAAAAGAGAAAAATAAATAGAAGTCAGTGGACAGTGCACCTACTTTATGTGATTTCTAGAGGTCAACTGCCTCAGACCTACTTTTTCTCCTGCTGTTTGGTTCTGAAATTCCTTTAACAACAGAGAATTAATTCTGTATTAAAAATAAGGCAATTAGAGTTAGTGATCCTGCAAGGGAGGTAACAAAAAATAATAACTGTTTTTGATTGAGCATGACTATGTGTTTGGCACCTTGGATGTTGCTCTACAAATGTGTGTTCCCTCAGTTCACATTCACAGTAACCCTAGGAGATATGTGGGGGAAAAGCCTCAGAAAGTTTGAATAACTCATCCAAGGTTACAAAGCGAAAAATACCAAGGCTGGATTCATGTCTAATCAGTTAGCCTCTAATATCATGCTTTTTCTATCTCTCACAAGGCAATTAAATGGTGGTTTTCAGCAGTGCCTCCGAGGTCGATATACCACTGGAATTATCTCCACTCCAGAGATATTAAATCCGAGGGACAGTTTCACAAAGAGCCTGTCAGTGCTGCCTCCTGGCCTGAGTTGCTGGTATTCATGCTGCACTCTGAGGAAACTCAGAAAAGGGGAGCACTGATGATTATTTTCCTCTTTGTACTGAGGAAAAGGGGGAGATTTTCCCTTTTTGATCACAAAGAAGAGTGAAAATTCCTTCAATGACTTCCTTAGGATGTCCCTTTCCCTCCAGCTTTACGTCTAAAGGCAGAGGAAATATACCCATATGGGCAGAGACCTCATCTTCCCGGAGATGTGAACCCTGAAGCCAGCGTTCTCCTCCTCTCGTATTTCCGCATGCGTGCCACCTTCTTCAGTCTAGAGATATTGCTTATTGTTGGATTATGAGGCACCAAAGAGCTAGGGATACAGCGTCCCATCTCCCTATGCTTCTACCAGATTCCCAATTGTCACATCTTTGCTCAACTCTCGTGTCCTTTAAATTGTCTGCCTAGGACATTTTGTCAGTCCCTGATCAGAAGAGGTTAGTAAGGACAGTGTAAAACAGTAGAGAGTGGCATAAAGAATTCTGACCCAGAGGTATGATTCACCAACTAAACATTTTTGAGATGGCTTTTGCAAGGTCCCAGCAAACAGGAAGTTGGAGTTAGACAACTGGGCAAATTGGTCAAGATTGTAGCCATCTCAAGTGGCTACACTGAGACACAGGTTGTATACTTCCATCATAATAAGTTAATTGTAGTAAGTGACAATGAGACCTGTAACATTTTCGCCAGGCTTATAAGTAAAAACTGGATGTAATGAGATTTTTCAATATTAGAAATGACTAAGGGAGAATATATTTTAGATCATTTGCCAAAGTAGCAATGTATTTCCTACAATTTAACTTAAGGCCGAGAAGAAAATTGCTTTAAAAAAAAAATAGATCCAAAAGATTACAGGTGGGGAATTGTTAAAGTATGCTCATAATCAGGTGGAGATTGAAGAAGCACAACTAAAAGACTTGTGGACTGACTAACATGGCAACTGTGGATTGAGCAAAAAGGGCTACAAATTCAGGAGCACTAAGGCAGTAGAAGGAATCACAACATGTGAACTTCTTAATTAAAAATGTTTTGACTTAAAAAAAAGATATTAGCCCTTGTTTAATCTCAAATAAATAAACAAGACAGAGCGGTATATCTGAAAATACAACTATTTTTGAAGACATCACATGCCAGGCACCGTACTAATGACTTTACATGCTTAATCTCATTTAATGCTGACAGCATCCTATTATCTTTTTATCTACTATTATTATCCTAATTTTAGAGGTGTGGCAAGTAACTGGCCCAAGGTCGCACAGCAAGTAGATGGCAGATCTGCTTGATGCCAAAGCTGCGACTCAGTATCTACTGGGCCAGACTGCCTCCCGGTTACCCGGCCTTTTGTAACAATGTGTCAGAAAAACTTGAAACACAAGTGCAACGTGGCCGCTACAGGTCTCCCTCCTTCAACTGACCCCAGTGCTAAGGGCAAAGCAGTCACTGATAAAAATCGCCATTTAACTTTTAAATTATCTAGTAGCAGCGATCACGTATTCCACGAGCACTGCAGAGGGCGCTGTGTTCTGGGGAATTGCCAGGAGGTCTGGTCTCCATTACCGAAGATGTTTCAGCTCCTCGTCTTCGTCTCCGCACTGCCTGCTTTCCGAGGCTTCTCCAATACAGGATTTCCCGCCCCCACTGGGAGATGGGTTATTGCATTTTCGAGTCCTTGTTTTCTTCCCTTGAACACAGGGGCCCCAAGAGGACCAGCAATTCCAACCTCCATCTATCCCTCCTGTACGATAAAAAAGAGTTTGTTCAGAAAGTACTTAGAGAGGAGGATGTCAGAGCTTAGTGATAAGCTTCCTGCGCATGTGGTCGTTGGCGAAGAGTGATTTATTACCTTCACGTTCACCGAGGGCTTCCCCCAGGGCCAGAACGTCTGCACACTGACTAGGATTGCCCATATCCTAGGGCTGCATTAACAAACTTCTTGCAATAATATCTTAAATTTGCTTATAATTTAACAATCCTTTCAAAGCACTTTCACATACATCATATCATTTATTTACATCTCCCAAGAACAAATCCAGGTGGGCAGGAGGTCTGTGGCCATCTTCCTTTGATAGGCGCAGAATCTAACACAAAATAGTTAAATGCCATGCCCAACGTTATAATGGCTGCCAAGAGCCACATCCAGACTGTAACTTCAACTTATGACCGAGTTCAGGATCTTTTCATCATCTAACAGTCTCTCAATAAAGCAAATAACTTCCTATGGTTAAGGCAGTGCTAGGGCATGAGAAGGACATAACATACTGGCTACTTCAGGCTGCGGGTCCCAGAGCTGGCACGGTACAAAATAAGAAAGTGTATAAGTAGGAGAAATGCATTTACCACTCATTGGCATCCTTCTCCAATATTACACAAGGCACTTCCTCAATCCACCCTGGCCACCTTCTACCTCAGGGCCAATTCATAACTCACAGTCCTTTTAGTGTTTTCCCCCATCGTGATCATTGGGAGAGGCAAGAGAGAACTTGTACCATAGTCCAAGAACTTTGTTTTCCTAGTTAGAAACTGGTTTCAGAAACCATTCCCCAAAGCATTATTTTCCGGTAATGAATGGGTGTGTTTACTGCTCCTTAGCTATTTCTACCATGTAACCTACATCCCTCTTTGCCCTTCACTCCACACCCACTCCTCAGTATGACACACACACACCAAAACTAAACTAATTTGTATAATATGTTCCCATGATCTTCCTTATGCTTTTTTCTATTATTCGATACTGAGTTAATAAAGTAGTCCCCTGAGTATATATTAATAGGGGGTAAAAATAGCTTGATATATTATGATTGCTACCCCATTCCTTACCAGGAGAGGGAGCTTCCATTTTATCAAATAACTAGAAATCCAAGTCACAAAGGAATGAATCAGTGGTAGAATTTCAATTTACCAAGACAGGCCACTTGGGAAGACATTTGGAGGCAAGGTTGCCTTCCGAATGCTTGTCTATAAGCAACCATAGTTTAGTCATGTATTTATTCATTTATCAAATATTTATTGACTTCTGTGAATCGAGCCCTATGTCAAGTTCTGGAAATAAAGAAAGAAATCAGTCTGGAAAGCTCTTAAGAAATGAGCTTTCTAGAGGAGAGAGACATATAAATATAAAAACAAATTTACATAACTGTCTCATACTTTGCCTACTCATAAAGTGAACTTCACATAGCCCTGTAGTGAAGTGCTTAAACCAGTAAGCACACTGTTGAGCACACAGCAGATGTTCAACAAATATGTTCAAATAATTGATTGATGGGACATAATACAAAATAGAAATCGAGACGTTTCAAAGAGCTTGCCATTGGAAAAGTCAGGCAATGCAAACTCAAGCACCACAGCCTTGTTACGACAAAACCTTAATGGGATGACTATAGAAAAACAGAAGGTGTTTTAGGCACTAATCTATTCTAACGGAGAATGGGAAACGGCGGGCACAGTGGGTCTATTAATTCAGGCAGAAAATTAGAGACAGCAAAGAGTCTTGACTCCAACAGCTATTATCCAGAAGTGGGATAGAAAGGAAGATACTAAATTAAAATGCCAGTGAGAATTCCACCTCTCCATACACAAAGAAGGACACGCTAAGGTGCCAGAGGGAAAGGGTGATTCTCTTTTCAATAGGTCTAGCATAACGAGAGAAAATTCAGCACACCGACCTGCTTTATCCTCTGCGAGGACTCCTTGCTCACATGCCACACCAAATGTATATGGTTTGCAATGGCACTGACACTTGGTCCCTTCAACAGAGGCAATGCCACCATTTTGACAAGGCTGACAATGGCAGGGGTCAGATTCATCCAGATATTCCTCAAGAGCCCGTTTCAGGTATAGTCTTTTCACAGAGGCACAGGGTACTTCCTTTACCAGCTCATACAAAGGTGTCAGCTATATAGAAAAACACATCACAGTCAGAAATTGAGGTGTCGGGAGAGAATATTTTCTTTTTGGAATTTAGGCTCAGCCCTCGTTAAAACAAAATCAAAAGCCACTCTTACATGAATTCTGATTACTTCTTGTTCAAATAAAAAGAGGAAGCAAGTCACTATCCTTGCAAGACAATCGTAGGGAAAATTAGAACTGGCTAGGGAAGGAATAGTTTTTGTTTCTTGTGTGCATGTATAAAAAAAATATTTAAAACCAATAGGATATTTATTTTCTAGTTATTGAAAGATTATTTTGAAGACAAATGGATTTCTACTCCTCCAGAGAGTAGAAGAAAAGGAAATACACTTAAATTATAGTAAAGAAGCAAGTGCGATTAAGTTTAAGATTAAATATCCTGACTGAGAGATTTAACATGCTTCTCTAGTGGAGACCATAAGTCTTTCTTTCTAAAGAAATTTAAAACAGGTAGGTATTATTACTCTGTGTTAGATACGTCTGCTAAAAAGCAGCTTTCGAGACCCAAAATGTCCTGGCTAAGCTTTAACAATCTGCTTTCCCAAGAACAAAAAGGTTCTGATATGTCGCATTTGCCACTTCCTTCAGTGTAACTTCTGCCACCATGGCCAACTTCAGACTGCCTTCATGATGTCACGGAACAAGGAGCTGAGACGACATGTGCACTACTGGTTCCGACAGAGTCAATACGAGCTGCCTGCAGCACACCACTGCGAGTATGGACATGAACGCGGAGAGTCAGTCACATTTCCCTCCATCTCTGCCCAAGCTCTTCTGAACTGGATGGAGCTGCATGGTCATATATCTGTAAAATGTCTCTACTTTCTCTGTTCCATTCCTGTCCCACTAATAAAATAGCACAGCTAGCTATGACAGTTACATTCCCATGTGGAAAAGTGCATAGTTGAGAATGGAAAAGAATGTCTGCTTTTCCCTAATCAACAATGTTGGATTTTTAAAGATTTGAATGGGTTACTGACAATGAAAATAAACCATTCTGAATATTAATGATGTCACTTTAAGATAAGACTTCCTGGAGAAAACTCTCCTCCCCCATTTCCCCATACTATGAGGCAAGAGGGTACTGTATAATGTTAGAAAGGTAACTGGAGAAAGTATTACAATTTTTGAGTTTATAAAATGTGTCCAAGTTTCTTAATCTCTCAAAGTCAAGTTTTACTTGGGCCATTATTTGACTCCCATGGCAGGGAATAGAACATAGAATCAATTATTCTATAGCATTTGTTTTGAAAATGTGAATTTATTCCATTGAGATTGTTATATTAGTGAACAATATGAGCATACCACAAGTTTTGTGTTTTCTTACATATAATTTTGTCCACAAGAAACACCAGGTGAACACAGAAAACTAGACACAACTGAACCAAGCCACGTAGAAATATACAAAACACACACACACAAACACCTCAAATATCCATTTAATTCACCACCTGTGTAATAAACTACTCCCATCCACATCTGGTGTTATAACCGTCTGCCATTTCTGATTGTTCTCCTACCACTTTACAATAATTCACAAGCTGTAACTGCTCCATCATCAAGCAAGCTTCAGATCTTTTTCTAGGTAATGTACCACATTTATTGTAGTATATGTATTTCTTAAGAATTTAAAATGTATAAAGCTGTGCTACTGTTTTTTGGTAGAGATTTTTTTTTTTTTTGGTGCCTATCTTTTTTATTTTTAGTAAGTGTCACAGATGAAGTTTTTCAGCGTTATGTTCCTAACCCCATTTTTTTCCCTTAAACTCTTTGGTCTTTTTATTGTTCAATTTTTCCAGGCTCTCTGATTTTTAGAAACATATTTGTTGTGTTATAAAAGAACTAACTTTATCAATAAAACATCCTAAAATTCTGCTAACCAAATTAGTTCTATCTTAATTTATATGACTCCAGGAGACTTCAAGCCATGACCACAGAAAGAAAGGTGACCTGACAAATGTAACAAGTCTAAATGCTTCCTTCTTGCAAGAATCTATAACTCCTCTGAATTAGGGAACAAGAAAAACAATCCAATTTATGTCAAAAGCTTAAAATGAAAATTGTGTCATTAATTTCTCTTAGGATTTACAGAACATTTAACCTTTACAACTAAAATATGAACAAACATGACAACAAACCTCTGTTTCTTATTATTATGTATGCATTCATTTTACCATACAAAACATGTTTGGGATAGAGAAAATGCTAATTACAGCCTTCTCTATTTAACCATCTTGATTTAATCTCATTTTCCTGGTGTAAATCAACATGACTATTTTCTGCTGCTTTAAATAGAGCATCACATACCTTTTGTTTTATAACTTGGGGAAGATCAGTCACAGACCCTGCCCAGGAAGAATATCGTTTTTGGTTTCCAGCGGGATTGTCCAGCTCCAGGAAACTAAGACTAGATGTGAAGCCTGGACGTCCCCCTCTGACAAATGGGTCCCCTCGCAAAACATTGCCCTGCGTTCCTACACAAAGAGAAATTAAATAAAGTGAGTCAGGGTGCACAAATGAAAATGAAAATGAGAACATAAAAGTGAAAAGTCTATTAAGTATTAAAACGCAACCCATTCAACTGAATGACATTCTGGAAAAGGCAAACCCATGGAGACAGTAATAAGGTCAGCATTTGCCAAGAGCAGATGGTGGGAGGGATGAATAGGTGGAGCACAGGGGATTTCTAGGGCAGTGAAATTGCTCTCTATGATACTATAATGGTGGGTACCTATCATTATACATTTGTCCAGACCCATAGAATGTACAACATCAAGAGTGAACTCTCTTGTGAACTATGGACTTTGGGTGATAATAACGTGTTAGTGTATGTTCATTGATTGTAACTAATTAACACTGTGGCCCTGAATGCTGATAGTGGGGAGGGTGTGTCTATGCGGGGAACCAGGTATATAGAAACTCTGTACTTTCTGCTCAGTTGTGCTGTAAACCTAAAACTACTCTAAAAACTGATATTTATTAAAACAACAATAAAAAGAAAACAGTCATTACCTGATAATAGATGATATTAAGAATTTATTGTGTTGGAGATGATGGGGAGAAAAAGAAACCCTCATACACTGCTGGTGGGACTGCAAATTGGTACAGCCACCATGGAAAACAGTATGGAGGTTCCTCAAAAAACTACAAATTGATCTACCATATGATCCAGCAATCCCACTGCTGGGTATTTATCCCAAAGACTCGAAAACCCATATCCAAGAAGATATTTGCACACTGATGTTCATAACAGCATTATTCACAGTGGCTAGGACATGGAAGCAACCGAGTGTCCTACGAAAGATGATTGGCTAAAGAACCTGTGGTACATATATACAATGGAATATTACTCAGCCATAGGAAGAGATGAAATACTGCCATTTGCGACAACATGGATGAACCTCAAGATAATCATGCTAAGCAAAATAAGCCAGACTGAAAAAGTAGAAAATCACATGATATCACTTATATGTGGGATATAAACCTAAAAGCAACAAATGAACAGGACAAACAGAGACTTAGGGACATGGACAATGGACTAGTAGTTACTGGAGGGTAGGGAGTGAGGGAGGAGGGGAGAGGTAGACGGGGTAAAAGGGGTCAAATACAGAGGGATGGGGGAGGGTGAAGTGGGTAAAGGGGATCGAATATATGGTAGCTGAAGGAAACTGGACTTTGGGTAGTAATCACAAAATAGAATATATAGATGTCAAATTATAATGTACACCCGAAAATTATATAATTGTATTAACCAATGTTACCCCAATAAACTTAATTTTTTTAAAAAGAATTTATTGTTCATTTTTTAATGTTCTTAGTGTAATAAAAGTTATGTTATACAGGAGATTGTATATTATGTTATACAGGAGACTGTCTTGCTTCTTGGAAGACACATGCATATATTTGGGGATAAAGCATCATGATGTGATTTCAAAATGTTTCAATTAATATTACAAATATTTTAAATACATAATATTTACATATTGCTAAGTAGTCAATATTATATGTAGATATAGATATATATAACAAAATGTCAAAACAATAAATGTTACATACAAGACATAGATATATAGGTGTTTATTACTCAGTTTCTTCAACTTTTCTATATTTAAAAAAGTTTTCATAATAAAAATATGGAGAAGAAATGTCATTGCATCTGGAATACTAACAATAAGCAAAAAAGTTATTAACTGGCATACAGTAACACACAAAAAGTGTTCTAAAAAGTTTGGATACTTATTAAATCTTTTTTTCCATTTATGTGCCTTGTAATTTCAGAAATATTTTTATCTCCATTTGTAACTAATTTTTACACTGATCTTGACCAGAAATTCCTAACTAGCAGATCAGATTGGGGGTGATTTTCATATCTTTCTTTTAACTAAATTTTACAATTTGATAAAATTTTTATAAAATTTTGCAAATTCAAAAATCGTACTTTTATCATTAGAAATTATTAAAGTTTTATATTTTTAATAAATTGCCTGAGTGCTTTCTCATCTTCATTGTTAGTTATTTTTTAATATGTAAATAGTCACCTCTTTAGTGAAGTGTATTGCAAAGTTCAGTCCCTGAAATACCTGAATTGGAATCATCTGAACTGACTGCAGATTCCTGATTCCTAAACAAGACTTAGAAAAGACTGAGAGAAAAACCTTGGAATCAGCATTTTAACAGGCTATCCCAGGTAATCCTCGTGCTACTAAGGCTTGAAAATCATTGCCTTAACTCAAACCCATTTACAAACTACAGATTTTTAAAAATCGGTATTTATATTTATTTTTAAGCCTGTAGCCTCCCTGTCCACACCCCAGCGACCTCTCTGCTCCAGCTGGTCCTCTTCTCCTAGACAAACAGCTTGGCGAGACAGTGTAGAACCCAAATTGTGATGCCAGACTTTGTGCATTTCTATCTTGTGTCTGATTCTTACCAGTCATAATCTTAGGCAACCTCTCTATACTTCAGTGCCACTGTCTATACAATGGGAATCTGAATAATACCTAACTCTTAGGTAGGAGGACTACATTGGTTCATTTTTGTAAATCACTTAAAATTGTGCCGGGCACATAGTATTATGTGTTTATTAAATGAAATCGGGAAGCAGCTTCCAATCACCAGCCGAGCTAATGACTGATGTCAACATCTTCCCAAAGTTCCCACTTCTGTTTCTATTTCCAGATCTTTTTATTTCCATCTTGTTCAAAAATTTGTCCTCCTCCTTTGTCATGTCAGCTCCTTGAAAATAGGCCCTTTCTCTGGCGTATTTACTGCTGTATCCCCAGTGCCTACAACAATTCCTAGTGCATGCTATGGGCTCAATAAATAGCTGATAAAGTAGGTAAGTAAATAAACTCGGTTTCACTGCTCTGTCTTCCTCCACCTGGCAGTCATTTACCAATATTTCAAGGATCCCCACTTCTTTGATGAGAACTTTCACACCTAGGACAAACTTAAGCTCAAATACTGCTCAGTTCATGGCCTCACACAATGCATTGCAATCTTGCTTTCACACCTACCACACTAAGAGTCTCTTCATTTTAAGACAATTAAGTGTTAATTCCCAAATCCAATGAAGAGGTTTCAGTCTTTTTCTTACTTAACTGCTCTCTAGCATTTCTCTCTGTTGATCTTTCTTTCTCCTTTATTTTTCATGTTACTGACTTTTTCTGGTTCTTATCCTATCAGATTATTCCTTCTTGGTCCCTTTTCTTTCTCTACAACTTTATTCTTTTAACATTTTATTTTAATTGCTCCCTGTATTAAATCCTTTAATGGCATCCGTTGTCATCTGGATGAAATTCAAACCCTTTGACATGGCATAGATATAATCTAAATCAGCTCACTCTTCTAGTTCCTCCTTCAATCACTCAAAGACTAGTACACCATGTTTCCCAACCTCTTTACCAGCAGCAGCAGCAGCAGCATGCATGCATGCACCAAAAACTTAGACTCCACCGAGCATCCATGTCACAGAGTGGACCTGAACTTTCTACTGATGATGTCGTTTTTCTGGGCTTATTTACCAACCATTGCCATAGGAGAGAAAGGCAGTATACACTGAGGACATATTTGCCGTACCCAGGAGATACCCAGTGAATTTTCCAATCTGTATGAGTCTCGTTGCCATGACATATGAAAGAGAGATCAGAGGCCAAAATAACCAAATATATGAAAGACACAAAAAAGAACACATGCTAAAATTTCAAAGGCCCTTGGAAACCAAGAATTAATCACAAGAAAAGAAGGATAGAGGTGAAGCTTGTAATATATACCACCCCCTTCTCATTTACCTGAAGCCCATTTTAAGGCATCTTCCATCTCCTTGCATCTGCTCTTTGAGTATTTAAACAAAAAATTGGAATTTGATGCAGTACATTTATTCATAGTCATTGAATCAACACCTGAAGGAAAAGAGTAAAATGTCCTTAATTTCTGCATTCGTTGAAGATCTTTGAGATGCAGGCAGGTATAAAAGTGAGGTTAAGAGATTGTTTCCGACTGCTGTGCCCATCTAATTAAGAGCGATATGATAAGTACATTTTCAAACACTCTCAAAAAGTTGAAGGTCAGAAAAAGGTATATTTGATTTTTGTTATTGAACAAAATAACAGATAGATGCACATATTTAAGAATGAAGCATCATGTGTCTGAAAGATATTTTCAAATAGTTCAGCAAATAATGGCTTCTAGTAACTTTGTCCAGAGAGGGGAGGAGATGGGAGCAGAAATTAAAAACCCCAAAGAGTGATATCTTTCACCCATCTATAGTCAGCTGCTCAAGCAAATAGATAAAAGTAGGTGTGTGATGGCCTTCAGCTCAACTACTAGAAACCCCAAAAGCTGGGTTCTGGTTCCACAGTAATTAATTCATAAAACCCTAGTTCCACAGCCTTTAACATCTTCGATGTCTCTGATTTCTAACATTTCCTTACCCTGACTCATAACCTTAATATGTAACAATTTCTACTCATTATCAAATGTAGTTTTTTAAAGGAGGATAGAATAAAGTATAGAAGTACATTTTTCTTATATAATTTTATTAATTATATTATAATAACTTCAATATTTTTTAAAGAACAACTGGGGACATATATTATATCCCAGGAGATTTAATTATATTTAAATTAAAACTTTTAGGAAGAACAAAAACTGCTCATGAGTAACATTTTTACTCAAAAGAAATACTTTTGCCAACTCGAAAAGCTTTAAAAAATTCTCTCCATTCCATTTAAATGCTAAAGGAAAAATAAAGGGCTGTGAAACTGAGTTTAGATCAAGGCACTTGCTAGATTAATTTTCCAAGGAAATACTGCCTCTGTCCTTGCTTTAAAAAAAACTATGCTTGTGCAATTTATTTCCAACCTGTGAGTTTAGAAAAGTTCAAGTTCTATTTACCTGTTAATTTGTAAAAATGAAGCCTAGTAGAAAAAAATAGCCAAGGAAACGCAGAAAAAATGTGTAGTTCACCTACAAGAGAAGGCTACAAGATCTCTCTCTCTCCTCCAAGGTTGTAAGGGTATCTTGACTGCTGAGAAAAATCCTGAAGAGATTATTTGGCATGGAGAAAGAAGTGTGGGCCTCATCGTAAGGACAACATTGGGAAGGAATTGGTTTGACTTGGAACATTAGTAAATCAGAGCCAAAGGTTTCCGGAGAGGAGGAATGCGTAGTAAGACACCACTCCCTTCCCTTGTCGGGACCCTTGGTAAGGACTGTCCTCTCACTGTGAAGTTAACACAGCATGAACTCAGTGGCATACCCTGATTCTAACAAAAATCATTTCTAGCAGCAACATAACACAAGGACAAAACTAAGCTGACTTTGGAGACAGTGGGACTTCCTTACAATCTATATGCCCTTTAATGAGTCTTCTCGTAGCACTGAGTCTCCATTCCTCAGTCTGTAGGACAAGAATTATAGTGACTAACTCACTGGGTAATAGTGAAGATCATTGCTAACATATACATAAGTTGCCTGTTGTAAGAAAGGCAGACAATAAATTTAAGCTATTGTTACAAGTTTTGGGTAGCAAGCAAACCTGTGATATCCAGAGTAGATTTTTTTAAAGGAATGTGAGTGGTAAAGAACAGAGGTAAATATAACACTTCTTTGAAACATCTTGATTTCTGCAGCAACAATAATTTCCTCATTAGTTTTCCTTGAGAAATATTATTTAATCTGAAAAATGGGAAAGGTCAAAAGTATTCTCAAAACCCAGTCTATACCCTCTTGAGATAACCAATCATGGCAACGGTTTAATTCACATTTCATGGTATTGTCCAAAAAAGTAGGCAAGCTTTTCTTAAAACCCATAAGATTTCGAGTAGAGTATAATGGACTCTGGCAGTTTTGAATTCCTTTGCACTTCATTTTCTATTTGTCTTATTTTAAAACTCTAAAGTTTAAGTTAACCACATGTTATTTCCCCATTACAATCCCTACAATATTTTTATATAACATTTTTTAAATACTCTACCGTTTTGTTTCATTTTTTCTGTGTCCACATAAAACAGAACTTTGTATTCTCCTCCTAAAGATCCAGACCGCAGAAAATGTGTCCCGTATTCATCAATCAATTTTCGGTAGGCACTGTAGTCATACAGAGAAGGAAGGTGAGAGAGTTCCTTCCAAAATGGCTCAGCGAGTTGTAAAAATTCTGGATTGTTATTGATAAACTGAGCCACTTCCACACTGTTCTGAATAACCAACAACTGATAACTCTATGGAAAGAAGAAAAGGTAAAAGCAGTTTTAGGTTGAAGATAAAAAGGCAATGGAAGTAGTTCCCTGTGCAATGTCTCCATCAAGGGCTACCATATTCATCAACTGCCACCTCCAGCCCAAATCATATGAATTTCTATTTTTGGTGCATGATTAGGTCTCTACTTGGACCACTTACTTGAAGCAATCTAAAGAATTTTTGAAATGTCAGGTAGAAATAATATCTGAGAGATGTCATGGTAATTTTTTTTATATTTGGCCTTGAAAATTCTGAGACCAAGTTGTTATGCCCTCCTCAACTACAAAAACCGAATCAACTTCATTAACTGCTAAATAATCTCATAAATAAGTATATAAAACAATGTGTCCCTAGGAACCACATCTTGATGATGACTTATTGGTAGAGTGATCATATAATAATCTCCCACACTGGCATATTTATGAGTTAAACTATTTTATAATAAAGTCTTTTAAATGCTTGAAAAGTATTTAAATGATTTCCAAGACAGATCTACTTTATATCAAATATTCACTTACATGAACAATATAATATGAAATGACAAATGTTTTTACAGCTCATATTTCCACAGTTGGGTTCTTAGTCATAGAACAAATAAAATCAATATTTTATTTATCAAATCTTTTATACTTCTCTTGTGTGATTTATTAATCAAGTTACAAACTTTAAGAATGAGATAAAGTATGTGGATTGTGAATGATGATCAGCCTAAAATTTTTTTCAGCAGTAAAGTGTGTGTATCAATTAGTACAATGCATGACAACTGTTCAGGTTGCCCATGATGAAAGTTTTGAAATTTTAAAACAACAAAGTATCTTAAATCGTTTGACTTCCTCATATGAAAATTTTGATATCTCAAAAGTAATAAAGTGTTTTAAAACTTTTTAGTTTCATGCACCTTTTTAAAAAGATTCTAGTATTTGCATTTAAGAAGCACATGTTAACTGAATTTTTAAAATTATAATTCTAATACTTAAAATAGCATCAATAATCATGGATGAAAAAATTTACGATAGTTTTAACTAGAAGATTTGAAAGTAATGTGGTTTTTTTTAGATTTTTAAATAAATACAAATACGTTAATGAAAAAATAAAATGTATAAATAAATATATCAAGGAGAACTAATAAGACAAGATCACACCTTTTTTTTTTTTAATGCCTACAGCACCTGGTCTTCCTAGGTGGTCTGCCATCTAAGTACTAACCAGGCCTGACCCTGCTTAGCTTCCAAGATCAGATGGGATTAGGCTTGTGCAGGGTGGCATGGCTGTAGACCAAGATCATACCTTTTAAAGAAATATATTGTATTGTCTCTTCAAAGAAGATATTATCGCCCTATTTAAAAAATTAAAGCTGATCCTTTTGGTAAATATACTTTTGTTAATGTCAGAAATACTTAAACTAATAAAATATGGAAAAGTTAACTAATATTTCATACTAACCTTTTCCTTCTGGTTTTTATCATAATTTGAATTACGATGAGATGAAGACGAAGAAGCTCTAGATCCAAAATAGAATTTTGTCCTACTAGATGATGAATATTCTGCTAATGTATGTTTTGCATAAGACCAGCTACTGTTGTAATATTCATAATTAAAATCATTATTTATTTTCACCTGTAAAGAAAGTGTAAAATTTTGCTATCACCAAATTAAGGCTTTGGATATAATCAAGAATCTTTTGCCATAGATCCTTTAATATGGATACTTTCTTCATATAATCTTCTCCCCAAAACAAAGCTTTATTGACACAAAACAAGTGTGCCACTCATTAAGACCAGGGCTGTATGAGTATAAGTACTCCAGAGTTACATAATATTCTATAAGTATTCTTTGTTAAGCAGAAAACATGGTATCAATAACAGCAATCCCAAATGATTCACAAAATACATCCGTGAGCAAAGATCTGGAATTTTCCTTGAATGTCAACATTTAGCCCAGAAGTAATTCATGGGGCTACACTAACAAAGAACTACAAAGCATTTGGCTCTTTTTGTCTAATACAGAAGAACAGAGTTGCAAATAGGTTACATGAAGGTATTAAATCATTTGTACTTTGTTTTAGAATGTTCTATGTGATCCAGTAGTGAATTTAACTTTCCCATTCTGTTAGGATTTATGCGAATAAGCCTCTTAGCTGCTTAGTTCAGCATCTCATCAACTCTGATCTACTCTACACGTAACTGCAAGAATCATCTTTTTTCAAGGTAGTGTGATCTTCTTAAATTTTCCTTAATTAATATCCTCTTCCTTCCAGATTAGATCCTAGATTTCCTCAGACTGATCCTCCCTCTGAAATTATAAATGCAAACATCCTACACTCTGGTGTTTCTTACTCTTTTGACTCTCGTTCTATTAGCGCCATATCTCTTATTCAGCTTCGTAGAGACAAGCTCGTCAGTTTCTTTTCCCTCTTTCTCCTTATCAGCTCCTTCATTGTTACTTCCTTCCTGCTGTAGTTAGGCTTCGTGGTTTATGACTTCAACCATTCTCTTGCTAGAGAACTTAACTTCCTTGTCTAGATAGGTCCTGCCATCGTATTTTCCTGACAAAAACCAAACCGTGGATCAATGCTTGCAGCCAAACTGCCTAGTACTACTATAGAAGAATCACACAACTATAGACTGGTGCCACTGTACATTCATTCGGATTGACCAACCTCAGTGGAACCCTCAATACACTGTAGCAGTCCTATGTTTGAACTATGGAGAACATTCACTACCTCCACATCTGTACCTGGGTTTAATACTTTAATGATTGACTCACTGCCTATTGCTTCCACGTCACTTCCCTCAGGCTGGATCCTCAAAACATCTATATTCTTCACTCAGTAACAGGCTATAATTTCTCTCCACTCTGACAAACACCTACAAATTCAGTGACTAGAAAAGCATTTCAGATGTCAATCCAAAAACCAAGCCATGCTGAGAAAAACAAATGTCAGGATTATGCTGTTATTAAATTACTCCTCTTCTTCAGAAGCTGCAAACTTCCGGCATGTTTACCTTTCAACTATGTCAGAAATTCTCTTCTTTATTATTTTCTCTGCTCCGTAACTTTCTAAATTTGATCTGAATATGTAATTCTTCTCCTTATAATTATGAAAGAATTACCAACACAGCCTCCTAAGAATAGAAGGAAAAAAAATTCTCTACAAATGCTTATCTCACCTTCTCCCTTCTGGCCACAGGTTAAATTACAATACATATCATTCACCATGTGGAATGCAGAATTGAAAAGTAATTAAATGCTATACATTAAGAGAGTGAAATAGTAGAAAAATAAAGAGCTGTGAAGTAGTGATCCAAGTCCTACTACTTATTCATTTCGTGACTTGGAGCAAATCAGCTAAAGTCTTCTTAGCCTCTATTTCTACATTATATAAAATACTAAAATATTATTTACCTTCCAAAGATATTGTGAGAAATAACCTATACAAATTGTCTAAAATAATGCAGATGTCGCAGTAGTTATTCAAAAATTGGTAGCTACGATTATTTTTCAGATCAGTTTCACTTTCCATTTTCATAATTCAATAATTCTTAAATGTAATTTATTTTATTTTAGGTTGGAAGATGGTGAGTTTGCTATTTATAATCAGAACTGCTTTCTGAGGAGAGTTAGTTTTGGTAAACAAAGGCCCTTCCGTCTAAACATCCTAATAGTTTTGGTTTACAAATTTGGGAATAATAGATGAGTACTGAACTGGAAATGTTGGGTATTCTGGGAAGAAAGGAAGAAAGCAATGAGAGAGATCTTGAAAGATCTCTTGGACAGCAAGAAAGAAACTAGAAAGAAGAGGAGCAATTGTGGATGCTCTCAGCTGATTTTTCCGACGAGCATTTCCTGTGCCAAAACAAAAAGCAATCTCAGCAGTTAAAAAAAGAAAAGGAAATCAGAGGCTAAAACAAGATGAGACCAGAAATTTCATTTTTTTGAGACTGTGGAAGGGCAGATATTTTAAGATGAAGGGTGTCAACTGTTTTTGTTGAATGTTTGCACTATTGCAACAGAAAAATCTCTACTCTATTTTCTCTACACATCTTCAGAAATGTTTCCCAAAGCCATAATTGTTTTTGTGTGAGTAGATTTTCTGTTGAAATCAAGGAGCAGGATGAGTGTAGGTGTGTATGACGGCATGCAAGAAGCAGAAGCCTAGAGCCAGAGGAGATCCTGAGACTACAAGAAAAATTTAAAAGTCAGGCAATATGGATGGACATTGACAAGGATGTGGAGCACAAACCACTCTCCCATGCTGCTGATGGAGGTATAAATTGATACACCCATGTTGGAAACTTTACCTAGTAAAGTGTATCATAGACATGGCAGCAATTTAAGTTCCAGGTGTATGCCCTAGAGAAATTCTACCTTATTTGCATGGAACTCATGCACAAAAATGTTCAAGCATTTTCATTAGAAAAAGTTAGGAACAGCAAAAAAAATGCCATCTACATCAGCATGAATAAATTTCAAAATCATAATTTTGACCAAAAAAACAATCCATAGAGGAATATATACTATATGAATTATTTATATAAATGGACAAATAAAAACCAGTCAAAACTAAATTACAAATTTTTATTTAGGGACAAAGACATATGGGATAAACATATACAGGAGACAAGGAAATAATTAATACAAAATATAGTGGTTGCCTGGGGAGTGGGGATGGAGGGATATGACCAGAGAGGAGTAAATGGGAACCTTTACATCACTGGTAATATTCTATTTCTTAATGTGGGTGATGGGCATATATGGGGGGGGCGGTATTTGTTTTATTAGTTTTCTTCAAACTGCATATATATGTTATTCATACTCTTTTGTACGTATATAAACTATTTCACAATTTAAAAATAAAAGCATTTTTAAGTGAGATGACATCGTAGCAATTGTAAGGAAATTATCATACCAGTTATGGCCAGGGCCTTGAGTTTTAAGACTCATGCAGGGACAGACCATAAAATTGTGGGCCCACGTGGAGAATAGGCAAAAAAAAAAATGAGCTAAAAAGATATTTCAGCTTAAACGACACAAGTTAAAAGTCTCATTGCCCTGTACTCCAGAGTTACATAATATGTATTCTTTTGAAGCCCATATAAAACATTTATAAGAACTGACCACATATTAACACAAGCAAACTCTCAGCAACTACCAAAACAATAAATTTCATACAAATAATGATCTCTGGAAATAATTCACAGATTAGAAATAGGTAAAATCAATGTAATTAAGTACCTGAAATGTATAGGAGAGGATATTTCCACTCAGTCTGAAAGGTTCTTGTCCGTCCCCACTAAACACCTTTCTGCATTGACCACCATAACTTTTTGTGTTGATGACTCTGTTTCTAAACTGGCCAGTGAGTGCATTGTAACTGTTCAAAGAAGAAAGAGAGGGAGGAGGAGGAGGAAGAAGAAGAAGGAGGAGGAGGAGGAGGAGGAGGAGGAGGAGGAGAAGGAGGAGGAGGAGGAAGGAGAAGCAGTTAAAATCTAGAAATAGCACTTGCTGAAAAAGGCATCATTAAAAAACTCTAGAAATTCTTGAAATACGTTATGGTTAAGCATCTCTTTGAGAAAGCTCAAATAAGGGAACAGTGTCCTAATGCACACCGTACATTATTCAACCTCTCTTGCTTGGTATAATAGCTAAAACTAATATCTGGGAAAATCCAACATCTTTTCAGCCTAAGAACGTGTTTGGGAAACACACAGCCCTTTTGTATCTATGGCAACAGCTGGTTTTGAATTGAATCTATAGATAAAACCAATACAATCAAGATTACTTTTGAGGAGAGAGAGCGCTCTACAATGAATTTCAACTATTTGCCTCTTTGCATGCTGACTGGTATTCTCTTTAGAGTAATTTTACCATTTCTCTGTTAAAGAATTTAAAAATATTATAGAAAAAATTACACTTAACTATCATTCTATAATAGATTATTTTAAAGCTTTGAAATCTTAATTTGGGTCTGACCCTTTAAAATTCTTCAGAATTCTTTTTGAAAAGGCAAACACAGGATTGTCCCAACTTTATTAAGAAATGAAAGTTACCAGCTAGTTTGGGCAACTAATTACTTTTTAGATTGAATATTCCAACACACTGCTTGTCTCTTCTTTCCCTGCTTTTATTCTATTGTCTTCATTCGTCAATGGCCCTACCTCATTAAACCAGTTCTCTCTCTCTTTTCTTTCTCTCTTTCTCTCTCTCTCTCTCTCTCTCTCCTTCTCTCCTTCTCTCCCTCCCTCCCTTTCTCTCCCTCTCTCTCTCTCCCCCTCTTTTTCTCCTTTTCTCTCTCCCATAGTTTGACTATCTATGCAGGTTTTTCCATGTCTTAGGGGTTTCCCTGGATGCAGGACTTAACAGTGTTAAAACCAGGACAGTTCAAGGACAATTGGTCACTCAATGTTTTACCACATACACTTACAGGTATACAGATATACAGATATAAATATGGTTACTATGTGGTTTGTTATTAGACTTACCAAAAAAAAAAGAAGAAGAAGAATTATTACCCATCAATGTGTCCAGGAGGCTGCCCAGCACCTTACCCATTTCCAGTAAGTTCTATGTTGGGAGGAGGTTTATCAAGGTCACAGGAAAGTCTCATATTCGAGTCCTCACATTTGTCTTCATCAGCACTATCTTCTTCACAGTCAGAATCTCCATTGCAAACCAAAGATTTGCTGATGCACTGACCTGACCACGAGAAAGGCCGCCACACAAAAATAAAAGAGGGAAAAAGGGAAACACTACATGACATCAAAAGGTTTTGCCCCCAACCCCCAGCACTACACTCACATCCTAATGTGAGTTTGACATAAATCCTCAGTGTGTTCAGGGAAGGACTGGTGATTATTTTGTTCCTTATTTTGTAACACACAAAATTGATTCTGACCTTGGCAGGACACCAAATTGAAAATAGAACCTGAATCTCAGTTCTAGGCTTTCAGCCATAAGCATCAAGCAGTTTGTCTGAATCCTCCAAAATCATACAATGCTAACCACGGGAGGACAGATTAACCTCCTGCATTCGACTTTTGGTTTCTCTTCTGTAATCACTGACTCAGATGCCAAAGTCCTGCTTTTCTTCGTGATTTAGAAGTACAGGCTGTGAGAGCATGGGAACTGAGTCGAAGGGTTAAAACTCAAACTTTCTTTAGCACCTACTGTGTGTGAGACACTCTTCTTGGTGTTGGGATACAAATATGAATAAAAATGGTATTCATCAGGTTTTTCATATACTTTACAATCTAATAGGAAAGTTTAGGAAGACGTAGATTGTTACAATTCAACAATATAACTGTTGCGATACACATAAGCCCAGACTACCAAGGAAGCACTAGAGGGTACAAATAACCTAGCTCCTGCCTACCTCCCCAGTATCATCTTCAGGCATTCCACTAGTTTCCTATGCTCTAGTCATACTGGATCACTTACATGAATAAAAGACCAGGCTTTCTGTCATCTCCACTGAACTTGCACTTACAATTCTCCCAGCCTAGAGGGTTTTCTCTACCTGTCACTTTCTTATCCTTCAAGAATCAAATTACACATCATCTCCTCTCAGAAATCATCCCTATCCCACAGTCTACAATGCATGTCCTCCCTCTGTGTCCTCATAGTATGCATTGTGCACAACTGTCGTGATAGCATAGCATGAACCCCACTATATTGTCACTCAATCCAATGCAGTAAACATTTGTCGAGAGTTGACTATGTACCAGGCACTCCAGATTCAAAAATGCAATATAATCCATGTCTTCAAAGAGTTCACGTTCTGCCAAGAGATATCCAGGCCCACAAATACTCCAGATTACAGATGGTATCAAATGCATAGGGAACACAGAGAAGTGATTTATTAATTAGCTCTATCAGTTGAGAGTTTAGGAAAGGCTTCCCAAAGGAGGTGTCACCTAATTAGGGTTTTGAAAGTAAAACAGAAGTTCTACAGGTATTATTAAGGAACACTTCTAACATGTAACACTTCTCATATGTAACAGAAATTACGTATGTATTATTCTGCCCATAAAACTTGAATTTTTTTTCAGGGAAGAGGCTATGTGTCTTATTTCTAAATCTATAACCCTCATCACTATATCTGGAGCATAACAAGAAAAATAAATATTTGCTAAACGTTATTAAATTAATCTGACTGCACAAAAGTGACATAGACAATAAATCAAATAATAATGCTAAAACTATGTTTCAATCACCCCATGCATAGGGGTGACCTGTATTGCTCCTTGATTAGCTAATTAGAGTTGCTTTTCTTATAAACATAATAATAATTTTGGTAGTAACATTATTTTTGCCCAACCTCACTGAACATACCAGACTCACTATACATCTTCACCAAAAATGCAATGTCAAGAACAGTTTGGGTCTGTCAATAGCCATATTTCTTTTTAAAGAAGCACGGGGTGTCCCTGCCTTAATTACCAGATGCCTCCCCTTGCATCTGAAGGAATGATAGGTGAGTGTGTGATTATTACGCCAATAAAAATCATACTGATATGTGGTGAAAATTAACTTATGAGCCAATGTAAATTTGGTAAAATTCAACAAATATATACTGAGCGAATTAAATAACATTTGAATCCACAATAAGCCTATGGAAAGCAAATACCTGAAAAACACCTGAAACGCTCTCCACATCCCTCTTCTAGTGGACATCCTCGTGTAGGTTCACACGATTGTGTTTGAAAAGGACTGCCAGAGCAAGGCTGGCCTCCATACTGCCCATATACAGCAATCGACCTCCTGCGAATCTAAACAAAAGAACAGGTAGTGCTTTTTGATATCTCCAGATTCATCTGAGAAATAAAATCTGAGTGAAATTAACACAATTGGAGAAACAATGTTCAGGAAATGATTCTGGTGTCCCACAGAAATAAAACTTCCAAAATCAGTGAATCCTTGAGTCCAGTGACACTTGGGTTATTATCTATAGAGTGTTCCCAGCTTTGTATTTACTTTCAGAATTGAGTGCTAGAAAAATAAAAATAAAATTAGTGAATCTTTAAGAAAGTAGCCTGAAAAAGTTAACTGGGTAGACATATAGACTGCAATACAGAATGATTAACGCTTTTGCCAAAGCTATGCACCAAGAGCTAATTAAAAAGGTGAAAATAAATTTGGCTGGAAGAATGATATGGGTACTGGGAAGGAGACTGAGATGAAGCGGAGTTAGAAAAGTGCTGACAATTGATTTGAACTGAACTTTAAGCCTTCTTCAGGAAGGCAAGGCAAAGCAAAATAATCCAGAGAAAACTATGTTAATATGGAAGTCAAATTTACAAAACAGAAGCCCAAGTAGTCCAAAGGTAAAGTTACACACCTACAATGGACTTTATGAGACAATCAAAATCATTGACCTCTGTAATGAGAAATACGTCAAAATCAAATCTTTGGGGGGGAAAGCAGAGGAAAATTGAGAAAATCATCAAGCCAAATGAGAAACAACTAATTGTCTAAAATTCACTTAATCAGACGCGTACCCAATGTTTAAACGAACAAAAAAAATCTACAAATTCCTTTTCCTCCCCAGAGGCAATCTTTTAAACCTCTTCCTATACTCACCTCTTCCCCGTTAATAAAAATGAAATCTGAGATGCCAGATTTAATTCAGGAAGGCAAGGCAAGGCAAAATAATCCAGAGAGAACTATGTTAATATGGAAGAACTATGTTAATATGGATACTTTAAAACTTCAGCAAAGATTAACAGGGAAGACTAGATATGTTGAACGTAGTTGTCCACGTGGGGATTTCTTGGAAGGAAGGATCACTGCGCTGTGGTTTGAACTCAGCCATTTTACACCAGCCTGGCCCTGGCCCTGGCTCTGGCACCTTTCATTGCATCTAAGAAGAAGAGCCGTGGAGGAACGTGAGTGGGGAACGAAATTCAGTAAAGTTTCTTGATGAGTTTTTAGTTTCTGTACTTAATTGATGAAGACAGCTCTTATGTATTGTTTATTACTTTGTCATTTTCTGAAGTTCCAAAGCATAGATTGTGTTGTTTGTCTAAGTAATGTTTTGCCTCTCCATATACCGGGATGACCTTGATGACTGCCCATTTTCAGCAGTCTCATTCTCACCTGCCAAATTCTGATCTTACGACCCCTTTTTCATTTTCACTTGTCTCTTTCTGGGTGAAATTTAGATTTTATAAGCCAGGGATGTATCCATTATGTGATGACACTTCACTCAAGAAAAAATTACTAATTGCAAAATACCTTCTATCTACTTCTATTTAGTGTTCTTTCTTACCTTGTTTATAAACAAATGGTAAAAATGTTTTTGTTTGACATTTGTCTTGTTATTCCTGTATTTGTTTGCCTGTAATCAGAGTTGTCATCCATTACGTTTGTCAGAAGCCAAATTCTGCATTTGTGTAACTTGTTTTGTAAATACCATTCATGGAAGTACTAAATCAATGCTTAATGAAAATGATGATTATGATGATGCTTCAAAACTATCTTCTGCAATACGTTTATATTACTTCAATAATTAAAAAATGAATTTTAAATAACCATTTTTACCCAAATTGAACCACCTTTAAAATATTTTACAAATATTGACTCATGTAGTGCACCTGAAACTAATATAACATTATGCCAATTATATTTCAATAAAAAATATTTAGCCACTCAAATGCTCAGAACCTTTAAAACAAATATTGTATTTTTAGAATTTATTCTAAGACAATTATCAGAAGAGAGGACATATGTCTATGCATTAAAATGTTCAATAAAGTTTTACTTATAATAACAAAAAATGTAAATTACCTAAATCTCAAACAATACAAAGGTAGATAAATAAGATTGGTATATTCGTATAATGGAATACAATACAGCTGTTAAAATTCATGCTGATAGTGTAATGTTAGGTTAAAAGAATAGAATAAAAAACTATATCTTAACTATGGAAGGTGAACACACAATGTAAATATATATATGCTTACTGCTAAAATGTACTGCTGGAACTTATCGAATTTTGTTAACCAACATCACCATAAAAAATTAATTAATTAATTAACTTTAAAAAATAATCAAATAATCCTATTTTAAAAAATTATAACCACACAAAAAAGAAATAAACACCAAAATGTTGGTTTATTGGTTTTAATTAAATGATAGAATTATAAGTAGTGTTTTCTTTATATATACTTTTCTGCTTTTCTCCAGTGAATAATTTTTTAAATTAATTTCCCCCACACACACACTTCCACCCCTGACCTATGGATGTTGCCATTTCGCCTTAAGAGCTGGATCTCTGAGGGCAGGGCGTCCCCTCCCACATGCTCGTGGCGTGCACTCGGGGGTCCTGGAGCACCTGGGGTGTGGTCTGTGGCTCCACCTGGGGTGCGAACCCAGGACCTTCTGCGTGTAAGGCAGATATGCTAACCACTACACTGTGGAGGCACCCCTTCCAGTGAATAATTTTGTAACAAGAAAAAAAGCAGACATTTTTAGAAGTACTTTATAATCTCCAGATCAAGTCTGATATTTTATTTGCGTTACTTAGGAATTAAACTTTAAAACATTGCAAAATGTTTGACTTTATATGGTCATTCCCTATTTTTCATGGTCAGGTAAAGCAAAGCAGCTATTTTACTACTTGTTAGTCTTTGTTTCGAATAAGAAAAAAAGTCGAACCCGGTAAATATGAAACATATTTTGAATTATCTACTAAATTCATTGCTATTTGTATTTCCTAATAGCTCAAGAATTAACAAGTTGCTTTTAATTTTTATTCTATGTATATTTCTACAATCAAATGTAAGATTTAGAAAAGTCCTACAAGAAAAATTGAAATGCATAAATTACTTTATTACAATATTAATTATTAAACATCATACTTTTTCCTTTAAAATTACTAATTATATTTTTAAGAAACATAAAAACTAGAATTCAAAAGTTAATACCATTTTGTCCATACCTAAGCTATTTCTGCATATAAATAGTAAATACAGTTTTTGCATGGTCCTACCTGAGACTTAGTACAACCATTGCATTCTGACCACGGACCATAGGAATCCCACTGGCAATTGACTGGAGAAGAGGCACTGTCAAATTGTTCATCACAAAGCAAGCAGAAAGATAAGAGAGAAGGGACACAAAGAATAGTCAAAAATAGTCAAAAATAGTCAAAAAGTCAAAAATTGCTTCACAATTTTTTTTCTCAGAGGCACCAAAAGTATCTCAAAATATATAAAACATATATGTAAAAGGGACCCATTTTTTTTAGAGATTATCATTTATTAAACATCTATAATGTACCAGGCACTATTTAGACACTGGAGTTGTAGACATATGAAAAGATATAGGTCATTCACCATTGATAGAGAGGAGGAAAAAGACACAGATGCAGAAATAATCATAATGCAATAATGCAACCACAATCCATAATACAATATATCTAATTTGAAAGATTTTATAACAGAAATGTGTACAGTGTAATACATTGCGGAAATATAGATAAGAGAATGTTCAGAGTTGGGAAGGATAAGTGAGAACATATAGAAGGAAGGCATTATGGCCTTTGAAAGGATTCTGAATGATGAATGGAAGAGTTATACAGAAACTCTTAACTGGGAGACCAGGAGCTCTAAAAAGACCCTATGAGAAGTGGGAAGCTAAAAAGCGGCAAAGTCTAAGTGAACAGGAACTTATTTTTAAATGCTCCCTGATCATTTAGGCCACTTCTTAAGCACACACCCATATAGGGGAAATGTGAGCTTAAACAATTCCACTCAAATACAATACATGTGGAAAATGGAGAGTCGACTCTCATACAATGCTTAACTCGGACCACATCAAGGAGGTCACATGGCTTAGACCTAAGAAACTAAGGAAGCCAAGCCTAAAAGCACATTTACAGAGGGTAAAGGGATAAAGATTTCTGGTTTTTGGATTTTGAGTACATTTCTATCTTTGGAAACATCTTAAGTCAGGGTGATTTGTGCTTACCTTAAGGCTGTCAGGTGACCCCGAAAGTAAGGAGTCCCGTTCTGTAGTGTGTATGTCTCAGGTGCTTATATAGAGCCAGCCTTGCTAACCTGTAGTCTTGACGTGGCACCAATGATCCAGTACCTTCCAATTTTTTACCCTTAAACAATCTGACCTTACTATTTTTCAATATCACGTCCCAGGGACAGGCTGCAGCCTTCCCCGAACACCAAGGGTTAGGAGGGGAAGCTAGCTTGGCTTCCCCTCCACTGTGCTCCCACAGTACCTTGTTCGGGCCTCTCACAGAGCCCTTAGAAAATCTTTATTGAAATCAACTGTTTCAGGATCTGAATCACCCAGTACACTCTCAGCACTGTCTTGGTCCTCTTTATATCCCCAGTCTCTAGCACAGGGCCTGACACATATTCCAATAGTTCGATAAAGTGAGCTGACCTGGTCCTGTCCCCACTAAGCTGACAGTGAAAGCAAAACAAGGTCATAGGTAAACAATAATGGCTTTTTTTCAGGTCTCAAGAGCCAATAAAACTATTTTCCTAAAAAACTCTCAACCTTTAAAATCCAAAGAATGTTTTGCAATGACTACATTTAAAGATCAAATTATGCCCTAAGCCGTGTAGGGCCGATGTGATTCTCTGAAATGCTGGTAAAACCATGGAACTGGGACAAGTGAATAAACCTCGAGGTGTTTTTAATCTTTAGGTTTCTTCCTTACAGCGACAAGATAAAGTAAAATATTAATAATAGTAGAACAAAAGTTGCTATCACTGACTTCTCAAAATGTGGAAAGTGTTAAAGGGATAAACATGCTCAGGCTACAACATAGAAATTTGGTCGTGCTAAAGAATTTCCTAAAAAGAAAAATAATAATAATTTTTAATGATTTCCACACACGATCCCAAAAATTCTCACCTTGAAAGAACTGGGAAGTCCTCTATAAATCCCACCAAGATGAATAAACTTATTGCCTGGGGGAAAATAAAAGCATTATTTTAGTTTGCATTTTTGTAATGAGTTGAAAGTGAATACATGTGCACAAGTCAAGATTTGTGATTTAGGAATATAAAGAACGAAAGAACCATGGAGAAGCCTCATTGACTCTGCTTGTCTTTTAAGTTTCCATTTTACGCTATCTAAAGAGAAACCAGAGTATTAAGTTTCCATTTTAAATAAAAGTTTAATGTGATTCTGTTGAGCTCACCTCCTGCCACTCATTTCTGTAAAGACAAGGAGGAGCTGCATGATGTCATGGACAAATTGAAAATGCTCACTAGTTAAATGGTCACGAATGTTTCCTTAGGATCCCATCATCTTTTAATTCCTTTCTCCATCTCTGGCCAGAGAGGCAGCGATTTCATCATCCTCCTTAGTTCTGTGCATAGCTCCTTCAGTCTTTGAAACACCTCTGAGGACTTTTATAGTCATGTTTACATGATAGCATGATGATAGCCTAAATATTGAGGATCTGACTGGTTACAAAATTGTATGTAAAATGCGATTACACATAGAAGTCTGAAAAGAAATCAATTAAAACCTTAAGAGTGGTTATCTCTGGGTGGAGAAATAATAGATATTATCTTCTTTTTGAACTTATTTTTGCCAATAAAGTAGTATTATAATCTAGAAAAGGATATATATTTTTAAATGCACCAATACTAACACAGTATAATTGGTAGAAGATGGCTGATAACATCAAATCAGCTCTGGGCATATCAAGAAAGCAGATGGGCCCTGACCTGAGCCATCACTGTGCCTGACCACATCCCAGTCCCATGAGAATCATGCCTTAGGTTCACAAACCCCGAGCTCATCTCAGCTCAGGGAAGGGAGAATAAAAGGCTGGACCACAGCTAGATCAGAGGGAAGCCCTTTTTGTTCTGAAGTCCTCCTGAAATACTTCAGACCCAAGTTACAAATGTTCTAAAATTTGAGATAAAAATACAAGCCAGACTAATAGAGATTAGATTATATCATAATTTTAACTTTGCAGGGTTGCTTGGTATTCTAACATCATAACATTAAACAAATCAACTTTGTAATTTGTGTTTAACTTTTCGTCATTTAATTCCATGTAATTTCACGCATAATTTATTCAAGACCCATATCTTGCTCCTCCTCCAACTCCATTGAAAAATGAGCATAGATTCAGTATTGCAAATGGACAGCATAGCGACCACAAGAGCAATCTAGCAGCTGACAACATTGAGAAATTATTGTTCCAGCATTAAAATGCAAAAGCTTTAAAGTTTAAATACGAAAATTTAATGTAGTAGCAATTTCAATGTATTTTTTTTTTTGCATCCCATAAATATAGTCTATGATAGTGATTTCTGTCTTTGGTCCTGCCTTTGGATGAATGGTAATTTTTAAAAATATTTGGCCATTTTGCTTTGAGCTAACATGTGTGCTTGCTAAATCTTTAGTTTCAGTCCATCTATCTGTATTGTCTACTTTCACAATCCTGACCCTTTAATTCGGGATTCCAAATTCTAAAGTTCCAAGTCTCCAATTTCTCTTTTCTATAAATCTAGATAAGTCAAACCATGGGGGTTCATTGCAAGGCTCCAAATCAAACACACACAAAAATACACCGGAGGGAATTTTTCCCTAAGAAATGACAATAGTACTGTTATATTTCTCAATGGCTTCCTCAGGACTTTCATAAACATTGTCTCCAATTTCTGATTCCTAGACCACCGAACCCATAATTTAACTGCAAAACAAGGCAAAGAATTCACTTTGGCTGAACTGTTGAACTTATTTAAGTACGGATTTTTTAAATGTCACCCTCAGATCTTTCTCTTCCTTGTTTTCCCATGCCCTTTCTTTATTTGAACTCTTCTAGTTAAGCCTCACCCCCTTTTGAGATAGCTTTGTTTACAAAAGTAATGAAATAATCTTACCTTCATGTTTGGGAAAACAGTCAAGGCAGACGAGAGTGAGAAAAATTTCTGCTGTGAGTGACCGGTGAATTTTCAAAAGCAGGAGGAGCCCAGCAGTCTTCGCCCTCCCTGCCTCCTCCTACTGGGGTTTGCTTGGCACTCTTATACAGAGCCAGTGCTCCTGAGACTTAGCTCCTCCCCCAATCAGATTCTCCGGACACAAGGAGCCTGCCCCTGTACTTAGTCTGGGTCTCAAAGCCAGATTTATCTTATCAATCTACACAGGCCTTAGCTCCAGCCAGCTGGGACTGTTTGGAAGTGTAGTTCTGAGAAAACATCTGTAGGTCAAGGAAGACAGCCAATGTTCTCAAATCAACGTTTAAGTGATTTTCAACCAAAGGAGATTCCATGTAAGGCAAAGAATAAGCCTCCTTCCTGTTTCAATCTCCTGAACTAAGAATATATTTTCAAGATTCTCTTTAAGGGTGTTATACACCAGACTTTGAGATTAAACACTTTGTGGGAGAAAAGATCTAAATGCAGTTGAGTTCTGTCACTCAAAATGTAAATGGAATCTTCTGGAGTGGAATTCTCCACCACCTCTAAAAAACTACGTATAGCCTAACACAATATAATATCCATCATTCGTGCTTGACTTTCATAGAATGATCAAAACAAGAGCATAATTTTTTGCAAACATATTAAAAGGCATCCCAAGAACTTCCCTTAATCCTTTGATATCCAGATATCTCTGTTGGAAAATTCTTATCATGGTCATCATGGATGTCCATTTTCTCTTCTTCAGTTGTTGTCTTATTCTGCCAAATTCTCCTTTTCCATGGCTTTGCATTGACTCTAGCAGTTCTCCAACATCTCTTTAATAGATTTTATAAAACCCTACATTTTTAGTTAGGTTATCAGATTTTCTATTGAAGTTGAGCTACAGCTGAGCTAAATATTCTGGCACTAGCTACTAGGGCATTGTGAGTAGGAGAGATGCAAGTGTTATGTGAATTCAAAGTAATTTTATAAGTAAACATTCCATTAGTGAATATTATCCAGTTTTAACAATTTTTTTCTATATCTAAAGTACTTAAATAGACACCAAGCCCCAGTCCTCCCTCCATAAATTAATAGTGGTTGTCCAGAGACAAAGCTTCTGCATCTTTTATTCAAACCGTTAGTGATTTGTGTGGAAGAAATTTTGCCACAGAGAAGATGATCCCTGATTCCTAAAATATATGTATGTTTTAATTCAACTCTAATTGCATGAATTCCAGATGTCAAGGACATCTTAAGTACTCAGTGTGCAATTCCACATGCAGTGCTGTCTTAGTCTGGGTTCTGCGACAAGAATTCGATTGCAAGTAGGTTTTGTTTGTTTGGGGTTTTTTGGGGGGGGAGTTGATTTGGAGGTTTCGTTGGGGGTTTTATTTGTTTTGTGTTTTTTGTTGTTCTTTCTCGAGAAGAGATCCTAGAAGGCATTGCCGAAGGGAGGAAAAGTGAGACTGGGAAGGAAAGGAAGTCAATAAAAGGCACTTTATCATGCAAGATTACTACTGTGGCAATTAGAACTCTGTCCTAATGAGGAAATCTGGGACATACTGCAGAGCACGTCTTAGAGTTACTCTAAGGGATAAGGAAACAGAGATATAGCTACCAACGCCCTGTCATTGGTGAAGTGTGGCTTCTGGACTCAACAACTTTCTGACACTTCCAATGCCCTGGAAGTAAACTGAGCATTAACCTGAAGCTATTT